ATCCCCTGGTAGTGTTTGTAACTGGGCAATAATTTCCTTTATTGATTTAATTTTAACCATTTTCATAATTAATTTAAATTAACCATTCAGTTAAAACATTTCAACTTTCCAGACGCAAATGTTGAAAAACGGGACAGAAATAAAATATCTTACAAGACATAAACATGTAAAAAATAAATATATATTTCAGCTTACTACAAATATTTTCATAATGTTACTTTGACATCATTCCTTAAAACTAAGTCCCAAACATAATTGCTCAGTTGACATGTGTCATCCTCATGCGATACGAGATAACTATAATTCTGATGCAATCCCGAAAAGGGGGGTCATCACAAACAAACATGACATTAAATTGTCATTATACGAACTAGAACAAACAGCTCTATGTTGCTTTGATATTTATCAATTTTTAGGAAACATGTGAAATAAATTTCAGGTCCATTTCATTATAGTGCCTAACAAGATTGCGTGAGGTAGACAAAATTGACCTTAAAACGATCGTATTGTCTTTTGATGTCCAAAAATAGGCAGATCGGACATATAAGGACTTTATCTAATGACTACATAAATTTGGGATTTATTATTATTATAATATTCTAATGAAACTGAAAATTGTATTTTTTTTTTAGGATAAACAACAATTTTACCTGGCGTAGCCGTTCATAAATGTTTTTCTGCATTTATCTTCGAAAAATGGCGTATTTAATGGAATAGAACGTTAATACAGTAAACTTTCTCTTTTTTCTCCGCAATAGGCTATCAAAAATAATTTATCTAATGTGTATGTGGAAAATTATGTGAAAAGATAAAAAGTGGCAATTGTTACCTTTCATACCTTAAGTTTCGTTCATCTGATTCTGACCAATGCTTATATACTAAATATCTATTTATATGCCGCTATTATTGTTGTTGTTACCAATTATGTAAATCAATTGTATCTGATTTTATGCCCTTTATGGGCCCTGTAATTTGGGAAATAAAAAAAAAAATCTATTCATTGATAAAACGTAATATGGACTGGTCCAGTGTCCAGTTTGCAGGTCATTTAATTTTCTGTACACATTCATGCACGCTCTGATTTAATCAATATACTCGTACGAAAAAGCATGAACAGTTTGAAGGTAATCTAATAATAACTTAATCCAATCAAATTGCATAAGATTCAATAACAATGTCAAGTCCACATCATAATGAGTAATAGAGGTAAACTGAGTAGGGAGAAATTGACAGATATTTCAAGTTAATATTTATGCAATAACGAATTAAAATTTGTCAACCAAAAGTTTTGCTACAATTTCAAAAACATGTCGTTCTGTATGGGTATAGTTTTCGGATCTTTCATTAGCGTATTTAAGGCTATAAAAAGTTTGGGCTTCAAAAGTTCACACAATTATTGACTTTATACAGAAAATTCGTCCTTGTAAAACATTTAATAGTTCACAAATGATACGCGATTTTAAAGTAAAATTATTTCTTAAAACACTGCAAAAAATTTCATTCATATTGATAAAGTGGTATCGTCATAAAGTGCGTTGAAATGAACAGTGGTATAGCAAACATCGAATTCCCTCACAAAATGTTATCACACACTACAGTAAGGGGAGTCAGTTAAGTTTGTCTATTTTTAGATACTATACAGGTAATCTTTTGACACTACGTATACAACCTGTGTGACCTGTGTAGTGATTTTGATTTTACGATAAATTCATGAATGAACGATAATTTTATGAATGAACATGAGCACCTGACCTCTTTCTTAATCACCTATTAAACATATAAAACCGTATTTAATAAGGAGATAATTCAGTCTAATTTTCAGTACTAAATCAACAACTGAAATGATTCCATTTTTTGATGAAACATCGTACGAACGGAGAACGGAATCGCAGGTATAAAAATGCACTTTTTTCCCTTGTAATGACCGCGGATCTATAATTTTTATAGATCGGTTGAAATCCCAAAACTAATTTGCATAATGGAAATTTAGGCGATAGCAATACATCGGAGTGACCTCAAGGTCATCCTCTGTAAAAATCAGTTGCAATTTGCTCAACTCAAAAGATCGGTACGAGGCACAAAAACAACCTACTAAAAATATTCAATTTGTAAGAAAGTTCAGAAATCTTTACTTTAAATTATTATTTCTCGAAATACTGTCTTACCAATTTTCTTTGAAATTGTATATTGTTGCTATTAAAAATTCCGCTATATTGATATAAAATGTATACAGGATCACCGAATGTATTTTTGTTGTTGTTGTTTTTGTTGTATAAATAGTTTAATCTACTGCACAGGATATAAAAACCGTGACGTCGTGACTACAAATGTGCAGCGAACTCTTATTTTTCGGCGTTTTAAGATATTGCAGTAACATCTTAATGTTTTATACCGCCTTTAATTGTTAAATCAATAGAATTTGATTTAAATGGCAATATCATATCATTTTTACAGAAAATGCGTAGCGCAGGTATTTGAGAACATGCCATTTTAGGTAAAATAATATGCAATATTGTTAAATGTATAAACGTGCATCCTATATATTATTACCTCTTTTTACAGATTAATCAATTTGCTATATCTCCGAAAGTATCAATGTTATCTATATATTTTTCCCGATATTGCAATAATTTTCTGAGGGTTTGTATATGACCTTTTACTAGTCAAAATGTCTGTCCCTATCTAATTAATCCTCATTTTCAAGTGGCATTCTAGATTCCCTATCCGTCATTCTGGTCGTCTTACCTTGGGAATCCTGCCTATTGTATTATCGAATGTGTTCTCGTCCTGAATATGCATGGACTTAAGTAAGCAATATTCAATCAATTATCGGTTAGGTATAATCTAATTCTACCATAGTTGTAAGTGCTTTAAAGAGTAATTACGGGTCACACCCCAGAATTTCACCCCATACCCGGGATTTTTTAAATACCCGCCGGGTCGTTAAATAACCCGGGAATTCGGAAAATGTCCCGTTTTCACCCGAATTCTTGAGCCTTTAGACTGATTTCACAAGTGATTTTCCTTTGAAATACCGGCAAATTCGTAATTCGTCCTGGACAGGAAGTTCAACTAGCTGTGTTAATTGTCAAATTAAGTGACCCATTAAATGCATGGCTTCTCTTGACAGCTTTGGTGTCAAACACACTGTTAATATTAACACCAATTACCTTAGCTTAAGGTCATAAATAATTTGACTTTTTCAAAGTTGTTTGACAATAAATTTGAGTAACTTCCCCTTTTTTGTCACTTTTCACAATATACTCCTTAATTTTATGTTGGGTTTTTTTTTGTAAAAGATTAAATCTAAAACAAATTGAATGCAAATACATATCAGAATATTCTTTTCTTTTCTTTTTCTATTTTATGACAATTAAAAAATTATTTGGAAAATTATTTTTTTTATCTCTACTTTCTTTAAATGCTTAATTCTTTTTATTATATTCCAATATCAACAAGCTTTGTGTATAGCCAGTCAAGGTCGTTAAAAACTTCCATTTATTTGTTTGAGAAGCTGCACATTATGATACATACTGGGAAACAAGTAGCTTGAGAAATGATATAAAACTATGAGTGACACAAGAAGAGGAGGTAATGCTTGGCTTGAAAATGCAAACTATAACACATCAATATATCAATGGCTTATTATCCAATGAAAAATAAAATTAAAGTTTTAAATTATTTTCAGTTAGTACTTCACCATGTGAATATATTTTGGAAACTCTTCGGTCTAAAATATAAACAAAGTTCCCCTTAATACTTAAATTCAGCTGAAAAAAGGTTCGTACGCGTTATTACCTGAGATTTTCTTCCTGCATTTTGATTTTGATAGGTTGACAGGTATAAATTTGATGCATAGAACAATGTAATGTCGTTTAAATGAAATTAAAAATTCAATATACAGAAAACATATTAAACTTATTATTTTAAACTGTGTGTTCTATATATCTGGAAGTCTTTGGGGTTTTTTTTCGTTAGGTTGCTGCCCATGTCAAGAAATTGCATCCGTTAAAATTCTGCAAACACCCAATGGAGTCAATTACATGGATGACTTATACCATTGAATACACGACCGTTTTCTAAGCGACACAGGTTATAAATTAATTTGTTGAAATCAAACATTTAATATATTTTTATCTTTTTTATCTTAAATAATAAAAATAACAATAAAAAATGAAAAAATCGAAAAATTCGAAAAAAAAAGAATAATCTTAAAACAAAGAAAAATAGTAAAAATATAAAAAAAAAATATGACATAGGCCTACTAGTAACAAAACTATTTATCATAGAAAACTAAAAAATATGTTAATCTACGTTTTGATAATACTTAATAAATTATACATTTGGAAACATTTACCAGGGATTTCTAGATAGGATTTACTGGCATGTCATTGTCATATATATCATATATCCTTCTAAGTCATAGCTTATAATCAACCATAATATCCGAAAAAGATAAATACAAGAACAAAAAGTATATTTTCGCGCTTCAACTTAAAATCCAAATGAGCATAAAACCCATGCCCACTCTTGATAAGAATGTGCATGATTTATTGTTTTCTGATTACTATTTTCAAACTAAATATGTTCGATCACACCATGCATACCAGCTAGCATTATGACTGGAAATAAGTTTTATGTTTAACAAAACAAAGAATCATGCAGATATTGGGAAGGTTATAAAGAACACGCGATACGTTGATTTGTTAAAAACTTTGCCTCGTTTAAAACAGAGGCATTTAAGATTATAATACATTAAATCTTAATTATGTCTCTGATTCATGAGGTTTTTTTTCAATGATAAATCTGATGATCAGCATACGTTTTTTTTTTTTACAAATATTAATGCGAAAACCATTCAATCTTATCTACCTAAATTTATTTCTTATGTAGATAATTCAACAAATTTTGAATCAGTGTAAGCTAATCGAGGTGTCGGAAGTAATTCAAGGCCGTGTTTAGCCTGTACAGGTTTTTAGTGCAACCGCTGATCATGTGATTCTGATAGTATTCAAAATGTCGGTAGATGGAGGGTGGGAGTTTGACAAATTTGATGATGGTTCTTTGCGTTAGTATTAATAATTAGAATGATAGATTGTAGTTTCAATTTTGTCAATTTTTGTGCAATACATTACACTTACCAGCAGTATACATGGCAAGGTTGAAGAAATAGCACGTTTTAAAATATAAAAAGGAATTGTCAAATATCGCTGTGTTTACACCTCAAATTTTACCCTGAGTATCGACAAACCGGTGCATCTAGAAACGTTTTAACGTTAAGCATGATCTACATATAAACAGTTCATTGTTTATTATGTTTCAGAAAATTAAAAACTTACTTCACTAGAAGGTTCACTTGACATCAGTAAAACATCCCAATAAGAAAATGTAAAACCAAAACACAAATCAACCCTAAACATTCTAAAGAGAGAAAAACAAGAAACCAGAAATCAACCATTAAGTGATTGTGTAAGAATAGTGAATATGGATTTTCCCCTACAAAATAACTCTCAAAGTAATTTAGTGACTGAACATGAGAGATCTCAATAAATTTGTTCACATATAGATTTAATTTCCTTAATTTCACATTCATTTAGATTTTTAATGATTTTGTGGTCCAGGAGAAAGTTAAACATGTGTTAATAAGATGTCAGTTTGAATGTTTAAATTAATTGTATTTTTGTTTCAGAAATTGTTGGAGAGGTGCAGCTGAAAAAATATGGAAAATTTTTAGAAGACTATGCCACCCAACTGAGAGAAATAGAAGAGGCTTTGGATGATTCCATTGGTGATTCATGGGATATGACTCTTGACCCAATTTCACTACAGGTTTAACACATTGTTTTCAATTTAAGTTGTATAATTACTTAAAAGGCACTGGCTACGGTTACATGGAAATGTAACAATAATGAAAATATTATTGTTACATTGGAGACTAATTGTCGGAATGCATGGCTGGGTAAGGAATCAATTAATTACAAATGTAACAATAATAATTGAGTCTACGGTTACATTGCATTATTGTTACATTAATCATTAATCAGGAACAGATATACTGTTCCGAACATTAATGCACCTCCGAATGTACGCTGGGACAAGTTATATATATATATTAAAATAAAACTTGAAAACTTTTATTTGAATTTGACAATATTGCATACAATTTTTATTTTTTTTTATTTAGTTTCTTCAATCCAGTATTTTGTTTTGGGAGGATGTTTTTGTCCGATCTGAACTCAATCTAAGCAGCCATCACAAACGAGTGATGCAGCAATGTGCACGTCTGTATTGCATACTGTACAATTCTATTCTGCACTATCCATTTTTGAAAGTTAAAGAAACTTTCAATGTCTGTCATGCTTCTGGTGAAAAATATTTTTTTACCCTTGCAATGTTTTATTAAGTCTCCCAAACGAAGTTTGGGAAGACTTATTGTTTTTGCTCAGTTCTTATTATTATTATTATTCTTCTTCTTCTTCTTCTTCTTCTTCTTCTTCTTCTTCTTCTTCTTCTTCTTCTTCTTCTTCTTCTTCCGCCGCTTTTAAATTTGAACTTGTCCGCACCCGTTCTCCAAAACCGCTTGTCAGATTAACTTAGGGTTTCACAATATGTTAGACTAACATGTCTAGTGGTGCAATCAGGGTTTTGTTTGTGCAATGGGGTTTATGAAGGGGTACTTTGAGGGGCAAAAAGAAAAGAGGGTTTTACTATAGAACCCTATGGGATTTTATTTTTTTAAATTTTCAAATGATTATAAATTGAAAACCGTTTGTGATAGACACAATCTTTTTAATTGAAAATGTTCTAAATGATAAAGCCCATTAAATGAAATACAGGGTTAGTCCCCAGGGGTCACCCCCACCCCCAGCCATTTAAGAAAGTTCTAATACCTTGTAAGTGGTCAAGATCCCCACCCCTAAACCATATATATTCTGGTTTGTCATGCTAAGATGGTTTGAATGATATACAGGGTTAGTCCCCAGGGGTCATCCCGACCCCCTGCCATTTGAGAAAGTTCTAATATCTTGTAAACGGTCGAGATCCCCACCCCTAAACCATATATATTCTGGTTTGTCATGATAAAGCACATCAAATGTAATACAGGGTTAGTCCCCAGGGGTCACCCCCACCCCCTGCCATTTAAGAAAGTTCTAATATCTTCTAAGTGGTCAAGATCCCCACCCCTAAACCATATATATTCTGGTTTGTCATGCTAAGATGGTTTGAATGATATATAGGGTTAGTCCCCAGGGGTCATCCCAACCCCCTGCCATTTGAGAAAGTTCTAATATCTTGTAAATGGTCGAGATCCCCACCCCTAAACCATACATATTCTGGTTTGTTATGATAAAGTACATCAAATGAAATACAGGGTTAGTCCCCAGGTGTCACCCCACCACCTGCCATTTAAGAAAGTTCTAATATCTTGTAAGTGGTCAAGATCCCCACCCCTAAACCATATATATTCTGGTTTGTCATGCTAAGATGGTTTGAATGATATACAGGGTTAGTCCCCAGGGGTCATCCCGACCCCCTGCCATTTGAGAAAGTTCCAATATCTTGTAAATGGTCGAGATCCCCACCCCTAAACCATATATATTCTGGTTTGTCATGATAAAGCACATCAAATGTTACACAAGGTTAGTCCCCAGGGGTCACCCCCACCCCCTGCCATTTAAGAAAGTTCTAATATCTTGTAAGTGGTCAAGATCCCCACCCCTAAACCATATATATTCTGGTTTGTCATGCTAAGATGGTTTAAATGATATACAGGGTTAGTCCCCAGGGGTCATCCCGACCCCCTGCCATTTGATAAAGTTCTAATATCTTGTAAATGGTTGAGATCCCCACCCCTAAACCATATATATTCCTATTTGTCATGTCTCGAACATTTGAATGACGTATACGGTCAGTCCCCAGGGGTTCCCCCACCCCCAATGTTCTAATATCTTGTAAATGGTTGAGATCCCCACCCCTAAACCATATATATTCCTGTTCGTCATGTAATGAACATTTGAATGACGTATAGGGCCAGTCCCCAGGGGTTCCTCCCCACCCCCAATGTTCTAGTATCTTGTAAATGGTCGAGATCCCCACCCCTAAATCATATATATTCTGGTTTGTCATGCCAAGATGATTTGAATGATAAACAAGGTTAGTCCCCAGGCATCACTAATGCATATAACTTTACTGGACCAAACCAATTTTCACTGGACGTTGCCCAATGTCAGGCGACCCTGGGTATTACGAATTATGGGAGCTTCGTTTGGGAGACTTCGTAACAGCATCCTGTTACAATCATTTCTTGTTTATATTGCCGTCCAATATTTTTGTTGGAAGCATGTGAGGTTGTAGTATGATTTCATTGCCGTCCATTACTGATTTTATGTTCACCTCCGACTTCAATACACAACTTTAGCATAGCTGAACAACTCACGAAAACTTAAAAAATACAAGTCAATTGTGAAGGCAATTGATGTTTGAATCAGTGATTTCAATTTCACGGCAGTCCAAATATTTTGTGATCGTAATTTCGTTCTTCTTGGCGAAAAAAATAAGCAACAAAACTATAGAAGGTTTAAGTTTTATAAATCTAGCGTACATTGAAGTGCATTAATGTAACAATAAAGCAATGTAACCGTAGACACAAATTTTATTGTTATATTAGTAATTAATTGGATCCTTACCCAACCTTGTATTCCGGCATTTAGTCTCCAATGTAACAATTATATTTTATTATTGTTACATTTCCATGTAACCGTAGCCAGTGCCTACTTAAAAAGCTAGTCAAATTTTGAAAAAGGAATGCATGTTTAAAGAGAAAAGTATAAAATTTATGTGCTTGTTAGTTATATTCTCTTTTGATTCATTTTAGTATTTCACCTAAAAGGGTTAGTATTTAGAGTGCTAAATGAATTAAAAAGTTTTTCATAGAATAAGGGAAAAGTCTTGATGATATGATCTTAATTAAAAGTAATCCCATAAGAAAGTGTTTTGTTTAAAAAAAAGTTCTTTTTGGGGAAATGGATAAAAACATTGATCAAGTGAAGGCTAAAAATTGTAGACATGAATTGAACAGGAAAAAAATATATATTTACCAAACAAAATCCCCAAAACATTTTATAAAAAAAAAACACCATTAGAAATCAATTAAATACACCAGCATTTGATGTGTATGTTAAAATTTAGTATTGCTGCAATGCACTTTAAATACATATTTGATAAACAAACAGGAAACTTACAGTAAATTATTATACTTCTAGCTTTTGCCATATGAACAGACATCACTACTTCAATTGATAAGAACAGACAACAAAATCTTCAACAAAATTATCACAGTATTTGCAGCATTATGTTGTGAAATGCAGTCACTGAAACATGAGGCAGAACAAAAGTTTTATAATGCATTGTTGTTCTATGGAGAAGGAGGTAACTCATCTATTTATATGATACATAATTTATAAATTGTAGACCATTATAAGAAAAAAAATTGTTATTAAAATGTATTTCATGTTGTTAACTTATCAGTATGACTTATAATTTCGCTGTGTCAAAATATTTTTTTGGAAAAGATCATTATGCCTCTGTCTTACAGGATAACAAAATTTGCATTTTTATTTCAGACAACGTGTAATTATGTCTTCACTTTAATTGATACGATCTGAAGCAACCAGTAATAAAAAAATCTTCCCTTGGATGATAGACTTTTTTTACCCTGAATTTTTGTTGTTATTCTCATAAATTATCACACGATAAACTGCCAAATCATCAAAATCTGAATCATCTGATGTAAATTTATGCAACAAAGGTGGAAATAAAACAGCAACTTTATTTTGTCCAAATTAATGTCTCCGTAAAAGAATGTGAAATCTGTCTACCCCATTTACCATTTGACTTTGTTTCTTAATAAAACAATAAATAAGTCCTTTCTGTTAATTTAATTTTTACATCAAAATAGAAATTGGCCAATGCATATGTTTGTTAATAGAAAGTAAGCCTGTCTGGGTAAGAATTTCTGATTGATTTATACTAATGATGCTTGCCCTGTTGGTGAACTACCAAATATAAAAGGTTAAAGCACATATTGATAGCAGAAATTATATTTTGTAGAGTCAGATGAAGGATTACAAGATGGGGATGCACAAGTACAAATGGGAAAGATGATGTCACTATTACAGGTACTTTGAATTCCTGAATCATGTGGGTACAAGATTTAGTGATTTCAGAAAAATGGTGTTTCCAGGATATTGAAACTTCATAGTTAATTATTTGCTCTCACAATGTATCAAAGAAACCAGAAATTTATGTTTTTCCGTCTCAACTCCTCAAACAACCAAAGTGTCTAACGAAATGAATAATGCTTAGCCTTAATTCTTAGTTTATAGTTAAATAAAGGTTATGTGGTATCAAAAGCCTGTTTGGTCAGAAATAAGGAAAAAGTAAACTGGAAGGTACCCAATTCATATATTGATGATGATAGTCATAGCTAGAAATAAAAGGCAGAAGATACCTAGGGAACAATCAAAAATCATTAGATGAAGAAAACCGTCTAAAAAAACACTACACAGAAAACTAAAGACAGAGCAAGACAAACCCCGCAAAAAAACGGGAGTGATCCAGGTGGGTTATCAGACCCTGCTCCACTTGTGGCAACTCTCCTGTTGGTCCTTATAAATAAAAACTTGGTGATGTCATAAACAAGGAAAGGAGAAGTATCCTTAATACATATACTAGAATGAAATATGATAAGTCTTTTTGTATTTTGACACTATACTTCTATTAACTGATTAAATACCTGAGTTCTGGAAAAATTGTCAGTCCTTTCTATCTTGCCTGCCAAGAACTCCATAGGTTTGAAACTTTAATGTGTTTTGTCATGCACAATGTGTGCATGATCGCAGAGATTTGTAAAAGGAACCCGTTTAATGATTAAAAAACAACATGAGCACCTATGTGATTGCTAGGAACAAACTCAAAAATAGTAGTAAAACTTCTGTTATGCTATGCTTATTTCGTTTAAGACCGTTTTCAAACCAGGATAAAATGATCTTCAAATTCCTAAAATAGATTTTACAGGACACTTTGGTTTTTTTCTATTTGTCTTCTATATAATTGTTATTGATTTTAATTGTAATGCTTACCAATTATTTTAATTTTATAGGAACTGTCATGTTTTGTCACCAGAAGTTATGAAGTGGTTAAGAGTGTTGTACAACAGTTTTCATGTTTATACACAGCTTCAAGGTAAATTAAAGAAATCAAATTGCTAATGCTAGAGAGGCCCTTAAGGGTACTGAACACCACATACTGGCTAAGGTCAGGTTACAAAATAGAATAGACTTGCAGCTATTCAATAAAATGCATATTTTTTTTTACTTTCAATGTGTACTAATTTCATCCGTGGACAGTGAAATTTGTGGAAACCAAAGCCATTTGGGACAAGATTTTGTTGAGAAAAGATGGGTACCCGGTATTTTGTTAAGACACTTGTTAAGATAAGACAAGTGTTATTCAGTTAAGGCAGGTTTTTAGTTAAAACAGTTAAAATTACAAAAGAATATATGTTTTGTGTTCTGATTGAAAATTTTCAGTCTAGACAGGCTTTCCATTTATGCATGGTTTGTTTTACACAGGTTTCACTGTACCTATGAAAGAATGAAAATTTAGTACCTTAGAAAACTGCATTTACAGCATTGTTATATATGAAACCATTGAAATAAACATTCGTTAGCTGTTATAAATTACATATGATATTTCTATCCTTTCAAATTTTGTGTTACATGACTTTCAAATAACAGTAAAAAATATTGTAAACGTGGTACTTTTTGTCATGTTTGTGGCATTTAGTTTCGATGGATGTTTGATAGTCTCTGCATAATGTATTCACTTATAGACTCAGGAAGATTTAGAGCTTGACATATTGCATAGATACCTATCTATAATAGAAAATTGTATTTTTTCTCTAGATGTCTTTTTGCTATTTTTCTCATTTATGCATACCCCATATTTCATATCAAAGAGATTTATGTTTATTTTCTAAGAGATATGAATCTTCTATTTCTTTTTGATACTAATAGCAGATATCAAATGCTTCATTAATTAAAACAGGCAATTTTTTGGTTCTAATTCAAATGATGATTATGAAGTTTCACAATGGTCATCCACACTAATGTGTCTTACTAATTTCAGATCAGGACCAAAGCTTATAAATGTTACAGACGTCCATTTTCAGGTATATTAACATCTATGTAAAGACTGAATATTCCTCTGTATCAGTGACATCAGTTATTGACTTCTTTGATAATTTGATTGATGTATTATTCAGTATTTAGTGCTGTTTAAATTGCAGAGTACCAAAAGTCCATAAAATCTATTGTATTAAAATAAGGAGATATGGTATGATCGCCAATGAGACAACTATCCACCAAAGTCCAAATGACTTCAGTGGAAGCAACTGTAGATCAAGTAGTCTAGATAAATGCATTTAAAAACCACTAAAGACTTTCATAAAAAGTTTTTAGTTACAGCTATTAGAAATAAAAATCTCATTTTTGATCCAGCCATTTGCCTAATGTAAAAGTCTGTTATAGTAGTAATACACCATTACAGTAGAATTTGATTGAGAATGATAAGGTAAAACTGATATGTTGCTTCCTGTCTGTGAAGTTTTTGTTTAAACAGTATTTTATTTTATTTTTACAATAGTGCACAAATGATAAATACAGGGATTTGGAAACAAGAAAAACTAATATACATGTACATCTGTCTCTTAACAAGATGACAACATTGGGGACATAGTGTAAAGAAACACGCCATAATATAATTTGCAATTTATATTACATGATATTTCAGAATTCTTTCTCTTTGTTTAAATTTAGGTTGTGTATGAACATCTAGGTGATTTACTGACTGTTTTGATTACATTAGATGAGATTATCAACAATCATGGTACCCTGACAGATCACTGGACCTTGTATAAAAGGTCTGCTTAATTAAAAAAGTGGGGGTATACTGTTTTACTTCTGTCTGTCCGTCCATTCATGCGTCCATCTGTCAGTCCGTCCGTCCGTCCATCCCATGAATATTTTTTGTCGCATCTTTCTCAGGAACTACATTACAAGGATTTCTGAAATTGGGTTTAAGGGTTTATATGAGTCAGCTATACTGTGTGATGTGTTTTCAGATTCATCACTCAACAACTTCCTGTTTACCTTATACTTTTAGAGGGGCGGGGTATCATTAGTGAGCAGTAGCTCACAGATTCACTTGTTAATTTATGATTGAATATATCAAAGTTAATGAGTTTTCTAAATCAACATTCAGTTAAACAACAAAATTACACATGCAGAAAACTCATTGCAGTGTTGCATTACTAGTAAAATTTATTCACTAGTCTACTTTACAAAAGTTAAGAAGCCTATAGCTGTCTCATTGACACAAACTTTTAAATCATAATATACCTGTATGAATGAGAATGTTGATCAATAGACAATTATCAATGCAGTTTTAGTAAATGCTGCATGCAAATAATGCTGTAAGAATTAAAATGGGAATTCTACTTACTGTGACAGTTATCCTATTACCTTTGTTGTGCAATATTATAATACAAACAAAATGTCAATATAACTGCAAAAATTATGATTTTACAATACTCTTCAACTCCTGGAATTCACACAAAAATACCTTGATTGTATGTATTATGTAATTTTCATGAAACTGTCTAGTGTGTAAAGGATACATGTATCAACAAACATATTAAAAATTGTTGTCTCATTCATGTCTTACCCCATATCCTTTTCTCCTATTATAATCACCAGGTCCAGACTTTAAAATTTGAAATAAAAGTCCATTGCTTTCTATTATTAATCCTTTTTAGCTCACCTGGCCCAAAAGGCCAAGTGAGCTTTTCTCATCACTTGGCATCTGTCGTCCGTTGTCCATCGTCGTCTGTTAAGGTTTACAAAAATCTTCTCCTCTGAAACTACTTGGCCAAATTTAACCAAACTTGGTTACAATCATCTTTGAGGTATCTAGTTTAAAAAAACTGTGTCTGATGAGCCCGCCCACCAACCAAGATGGCCGACCGCTAAAAATAGAACATAGAGGTAAAATGCAAGTTTTGCCTATTATTTTGAAAACCGCCATAAATAGAGAAAATCTTATTGGGGCAAAAATGTTCAGAATGTTGAGCTCTACCTAATGTTTTTTTTATGTCAAAACTGTCAGACGACCTCTTATATGATTTATTGTCCTTAAATGAAGAATTTTACCATTTTTATAAATGTTTGCCTATTATCTCGAAAATTATAATAGGTAGACAGAAACTTTAGATAGCAAAAATAATCAGCAAGACAAGATCTTCAAATAAGACAACATGGCCAAGATCTTCAGTCGACTCCTTGTTAGAGTTATTCCCCTATAATGACGATTTTTATCAATTTTTTGCATTTTTGCCTAATATCTTAAAAACTATATTAGATAGATAGAAACTTTAAATAGCAAAAATGATGAACAAGACAAGATCTACAAATAAGTCCGGCATGACCAAAATTGTTAGTTGACTCCTTATTGAAGTTATTGCCCTTTAATGACGATTTTTCCCATTTTTGCCTATTATCTTGAAAACTGTAATAGATAGATAGAAACTTTAAATAGCCCAAATGATCAGCAAGACAAGATCCACAAATAAGCCATAATGGTTGAAATCTTCAGTCGACTAGTTATTGGAGTTATTGCCCTTTAATGATACTTTTAACATTTTTGGCATTTTTTGCCTATTATCTAAAAAAAACTATAATAGATAAATAGAAACTTTAAAAAGGGAAATTATCAGCAGGATAAGATCTACAAATATGTTAGCATGACTGAAATTGTCAGTTAACTCTTTATAGAGTTATTCCCCTTTAACGATGATTTTTTTTTTTACTAAAAAAGTGGCCATTGTTGAAGATGCAGGTGAGCGACACGCTCTTTAGAGCCTCTAGTTTCAATTTAACAAGTATCTGATATCTGAAATACCAAAAATACCCAAGTTTCTATTATTTTTACCTTGCCATACATAAGAACCAGAAATATTGCTTTCAACTTAATGACATAATGACAATTTATATGCCATTTTAGAATATAAATGTTGACAATACATTTTGAATTGATATGAATACCTGAATTTGTGTGCATATTTAATAGATAAAAGATTATAAAATATATATGGTCTGTTGTAAAACAGGTCAGGTATTTGATAAAGATGTGAGCTCTCTGCAAAAATCATCTTTCATGTAAATTGGTGTCCACAGAGCTTGATTTTTCTCTTACCTAAACTTCTCCAGCAATATACATTTAGCAGAACATTTTGTTCATTTTAATTAAAGATGTTGAAATTAAAAAAATATAAATTTTAAAGAAGATTCATCTGTAGTTTAGATATGCAAGATGTAGAACTAAAAAAACTACTTTCAAAACATATGTATATTCTCAATATTCAGAATGTTGAAGTCTGTTCATCATGACCCGGGGAAATTTGGTATACAGCCAGACAAAATGAGACCGTTTGAGAAGCTAATGATGCAGTTAGAAGGCCAGCTGTTAGATGGATTGATATTTCAAGTTAGCATTAAATTTATATTATAATGTTCAGTTTGCATCTATGAAAAGTCTTAATGTATAAATGTATAGATATACAAGATATTTGGTGTTCAGTAAGAAAAAACAGACACACAAAAATGTTTGAGAGTAAACAGACTTTGTCCTTCGATTGCTATGATCAATGATATTAAATCATTTTATTGAGAAAAAAAATCTGAAAGACATTAAATGAAAGCTACTGCTGTTTTAAAAAATGGTTCATGACTTTAATGGCGTTATTTATGAAAAATTAGTAAGCTTTTAATCAATTTCGTTCTCCTGTGTAAAAATATGTAAAATAGCGATTTGATTGCCAAATTTTTATATTTAAAGTACTTTTTCCTGTTTAGAATTGTGTTGAGCAGCCATTTGATAGCCAGGCGGTATATGTTTCTAAGAATCCTGTGTTTGCCGAAGAGTTTGCTGCCAATATCAGAGAAATTTTACCAGATCTAGAACAGAGAATAGGTAAAATCATTTGTAGGAAACATAACTTGACCATTTAGAAGAAAGTGTGGAACTTTTCATACTTGGTTTTGTTCATGTATCATTTTCTTTGACAGAAGTGCAGTATACTTGTACCTGATGTATTTAGCAAAAAAAGTACAAATCATATCTATTATAACAGTCCACAGCAAAAGTGGTCTTGTGGTAGCTTGTTTGCCTCATCTGTTGAAGGTCATGGATTAAATCCACAGCTAGTGAAACTGAAGATTGGTATTTACTGCCTCTCTGCCAAGCACATAGCATTTAGAAGTAAGAGCAAATACCTCTAAGAGTCAGACTTATGTGTCTGAGAAGAGAATATGTCTTCCTGTTGACCTTTACCTTGTGAAATAGCATTTAAAAACTGACTCAGTTTGTCTGTCTAGAACACAGCAGGATGTTTTCATTTCAATTCCATGATATAGACTTTTTTGCACTGATGGGACATAGAGCAAACATCAATCAATTAATCAATCAATATGCATGACAAATTTGCTACTTGATATTAAGCATCCATCAATCAATCAATCAGTCATCCTGAACATGATTGATAGTTGATGGAATACTTATCAGAATATAATGAACAACAATAATATATAATTTCTTTTATGAACAGGAGAAAACAATGAAATGGACCAGAGATACAAGTTTGTTGGTCTGTGTGGACTGTATGTACTTCATTTCCAGATTTTCAGAGTCATTGATAAAAAAGTTTTCAAATCAATGTGGGATGTTTACAAAAAGGTAAATTTGTCTCTTAGATAAGGATCTAATTACACAAATTATAAATTTTTGGTTTAATTTTAAGCTCAAGACTATCCCTCTGAATTTCCCATTTTATGACTGAGATATTTAAAATGTTTGCATTTCATACCAAAAGATTTGAGGGGAACATTATATTAATTTTTACTTGATTATTAGGTCAGTCTGTTCATATCTGTAATGGCAGACAAAAATGGCACAAATACATTATATTTATAGAATGTCTACTCTGTTTGTTGTATGAAAAAAAAAATCTCATTTTATTTTGCTAACATTCTCATTCAATATGAGAATAACTTTTTAAAAAATCCCCCAAAAACATCTAATGCTAAAACAACCCCTAAAAGAAATCCAGAAAGTTGAGTAGATACTTTGTAGTGTCAAAAGGGAATTTTTTGTATGTTAAGAATTATATTATCTGTACACAATCAACTTTATGTTTTGTTTTGTACAAAGTTTTATACTTCCACAATTGTGTTAAGCCATAACGAATAATGAGAAGAAACATAGAATGATATTTTAAATTCAGATACCTTGTGTTCATTTAATGGGAAATATGGTATGGTTTCCTACCCAATTCTTGTTAGAGAAGTTACCACAGATGCAGAAAGTGTTGGACAAGAAAGCAGAGATGGCTGTTGGTTCAGCACAGTCGTCATGGTTACAGCAGAGAAATCAAATGCTTTCTAGGTAAATAAAAATGAAAAAAGAAAAATTAATGTTAAGGAATAATTATTCAGTACTTTTGTGTTGTATTTTTTATTCATGGCTTGAATGCATAGCATATGGATGATTCTTTGATTGATGTAATGGATTGAATCAAAATTGAAGATCGAACAGAAATTTAGGCTATAATTCTGTAATTGTTGTTGGTTTCTGTCTGTCATATTTGTTTTTTTTTTTCATTTATTGTTGAGCATAAATCAGGCAGTTGGTTTTCTTGTTTAAATTGTTTCACATTTATTAATACTGGGGTCTTTTATAGCTTACTATAATGTATGGGTTTTGTTAAGTGTTTTTAAAGGCCATACAGTCACCTATAGTTACTTACATTCGTGTCTTTCAGTGGATATTTGTCAAATATAACATCTTCTTATTCATGTATTATTATATAAATAGCACATAGTTGAGAGGGTTATAGAGCAGATTGTTAACCTGAGAAAACAGTGTCAACCGAGGCACCAAGGTTGACAATGTCTTTTCGAAAGGGGTAACAATCTGCTCTATCACCCTCTCATGTGTTATTTAATTTACTATACTGAATGTTCTGTCATTAGTGTCTATTAAATTTCAAATTCAAAGTAATAAACTATGACGTCTTATACATAACAACCATCTGTATGTAATAAAGGGCACAATTGATCAAGCGTCTCCATGAAGGGTAAAAGAGTATTTGCCATGGGTTTGAGTAATTTATCTCCCTTGTATTAAGCAATCAAAATCTTGCATTTTGACATGAAGTATAATAATAGACAATGTCAGTCAGGAAACTTGTAATATTGTTTACCTTTAAGATGCCTAGCTGCTTATAATATGTTATTGAAATATCTTATAAAACCCAATAAACATTGCATTATTAATTACATGTTCGTTATGGTATTTTGCAGAGATGTGCAGAATTTTCACACAACAGTATCAGCCTGGATGATAGAGATGGACTCAAAAGTTACACAGAAATCTCTCATGGAAGATCTCAACAATAAATGTGTTCTGTTCATTCAGGTTTGTATAGTATTTAGAATTGGATGTTGCTTACAAAAGCTTGATCAGTATTTTTTTAGCAATTATAAAAAAATAATTTAGTCAAAATTTCAATCCCAATATAAGACTTTTAAGAAAGAAACTCAAAAGATAAAAGAAAGTCAATTGTACCTGAAAAGGATAATAGGAATTACTTATAATATGGAAAGTACAACAGACCACACAAACTACAAACAACTGACTCCTCCAAAAAGATAGAAGTACAATCAAAGACAAACAACGAACAACATATGGTCCAAATAGCCTAGTATCTTTACACTAGAGAGGCACTGTCAGAAAGCCAACATGGTTATGTCTACAATTACATTTTCTTCTTATTCATTTCACGCTATGAGCTGACTTTGTTAATGATAGATGAATAATGGTACATTTATACATTTATTATATTATACATTTATAAACTGAACAAGTTTTCATGAAGATAATAGTAAATGTGTTTTAAGGCGAAGTGTACGTAATTAACTACTCCACAGAATTTTTTTTAATTTTACATGTGGATTCTGCTTGTAAAAATATATCAGACAATAAAATAAAAAAAGGGGGTAACCGTTTTCTTTTTTCAGATACAAGCTGTTGAAATTAACAGCATGATACGCCAAAAATACAAAGGATATATAGGGAAAATCATAAAGTTCGGCAGATGCTTTTACTTTATCAAGATTTTCTAATTCGTTGGTCCACAGAATTTTTTTAAAAATCGATATGCGATTCCAAAATGAATGACGAACCCATTGGTGCAAAGAAAGTCCCTAGCAACCGTGCTAGTTTTCAAGCTATATCCTGTGGAAGTTTGATTTTTAGCGGAAAGAATAAAAAACATTCGGCGACGTTATTGATGTCTACTGTAACGTCATCACAATTTCTACTCTATAACGCTATTATACCGTACAGTGTCGTAACAAAATCGTGAGTGTGTATAACCCATTTTCCTTATTATTGCAAATTCTCCATCGTAATCAATTGATAAGGAAATAAACTGACTATTTTTTTAAGGATATTTCTGCTGCCAAAAAAAAAAGCAAATTGGCAAATAAATATACTGCAAGTGAAAGAAAGTTACTGTATAGACTTTAACTCCATCTTTTCTTAATTAGACAGGGTTCCACATCTTTTTTGAAATGCTTGTATTTATAGCTGACTATGGGCTTTGATCATTGTTGAAGGCCGTACGGTGACCTATAGTTGTTAATTTCTGTGTCATTTGGACTCTTGTGGAGAGTTGTCTCATTGGCAATCATACCACATCTTCTTATTTTTATATTGTATTGTTCTAATAATTATGAATCAAATATCAAGTTTGAAATTGTCCCGATTAACACAGCGTTGACAGAATGATTCTATTTAAATAATCGGTTATAATATTGGGATCGCGTATACACGTCTTTTTTAAAATCTTATTTCTGCATGTTTATATTATAAAAAAGTGAATATAATTTGCTGCATCTTTTCATCCTCACCATTTCCGGCGCTATTCGAGGTATTGCGCACAAAACCCATTTTATTTGTCAGGTTCACACACGTGCACGTGACACAACTCTGCAATTTTATTTTAAAAATTTCCTGTCTCGATCGCTTTCCCTTTTCTTTAACTACACGACAAAGCATGATATAATGTTTGCTGGAGATTTAAAGTAAAAAAGGAAATAATTTCTTGTATCATTATTTGTTAAATATCCACATGCACAACTCCCGAAAAATAAGAAAACTGCATCTGCATATTATCTTGAGAATTTTTATGGCTGTAATAAAGTCAAAAGAAGAACCCGCATATGAATTTTAGCAAAGTAAAACAGATTGGAGTTTTTGATATAACTTCCCGTAGTACAGATCATTCCCAGTGTTAGCCTTAGCATTGTGTATATTGTGTATAATGCAATAGCATAGTGTATAGTATAATGCTAAAGCTTTTTGCATATTGATATGCTATAAATGTACTGGCGTAATACTATAAATGTACTGGTGTAATGCTATAAGAATGTACCAAGGGCGATGCTATACGAGTTTACCTAGTGTAGTGCCATACAATTTGCTCCTGTATATAATGCAAATGAATTGCAGTTTTGTTAATATAATATGAAAATAAGGAGATGTGGTATGATTGCAAATGAGACAACTATCTGCCATAGTTGAAGGTAGATGTAGATTAGGTGTCTTTTTCTGAGCGTCCGTTCTTATCATGTTGCAAAAATACTTTTGTTTTAAAAATATTTTACCAAGTATCATTTAATATACAACAAAATACCTAAAACTTGAAATGTAAAGATTGAACTATCAAAAAATTAAGTGTCGTAAAGTATATTTAAAATTTTTGGGGATTTTTTCAAGAAAATAAGGCTCGTGACCCCCTATTTTTATTTGATATTTCGAAGTTATTAATGAAAAGCAATTCTCTTATCGAATTTTAGCCAATTCTATCATTTAAAGTTTCCGCAATAAGGAAAACTTAAGTTTCCCCTATATTAACAATATAAAATAACCCAAATTTCGTTAATTTCAATGTGTTATTACGAAAAAACAAGGTCCGTGATCTCCAGTTTTTATATTGAAATTACATTGACCCAGAAGTCTTTTACAGAAGTTTAAGAAAAATCTATCGTCCAACATTTAGACACCCCAGCTACCTTAAATGATGTGGATGTAAGCAATTGTTATAGGCAACCATACGGCCTTCAACAATGAGAAAAATCCATACAGTATAGTCGGTTATAAAAAGCCCCGACATTGTAGACCTTATTTTCTTCACCCCCTCCCCCTTCTTCCCCTACCTTATACTACTGCTGAATGATACACAAAAGCACAACAAAAGAAAACAAATTTCGCTATCCCTTCGAAATTGGAATTTGATAAAGAAAAATTAACACGTTCTATTTTTATCATACATGTGTAGTTTCAGTTTCAACCATGGTTCTAAATTTAGATTTTACTTTCCCCAAAAATTGCGGACGGAATAGAAGACACCTGTTTATTTTCTGCACCTTGAAAACTGAGATTTGGATGACATAGATTTTACTTATTCTGAGATAAATGTAATAGTGCTCAATTCTTAGTTTCTGAGTGTGTAATATTTTGTGGACGGAATCTGATGTTGTTTTTTTTTTTTTTGCTGTTGACTTTTTCTTCGGCTTATAAATGTTGTACTAGTGGTCGATTACCCCTTAGTATCTTTTATACTTTTTACATAAATAATAAAATATAAAACATCATAAAATTTTCAATTGCAGAAAAAACGGACATGCCAACGTCTTTCTAGTTCAACACACAAATTCACATGCAATATAATTATTCGTTACCTACAATTTTTCGCTACACTGTGAATTTCATTCAAAACTATGTTTTTTCAAAAAATATTGTGGGGTCAATTCTGGTTTGATTTTTATGAATTTGATACGAATAGAAGCAGAATTGTCACTGGTTTATTTGTTCATTTGGTTATAATTTTGTTGTTTAGGCGTTTTTACCTTCTGTTGAAATAAACACGAGTCGTATTGTGTACCTGCTCCTGCGTGTCTAAAACAAAACAGTGGTAATAGAGTCAGACTAACTCACAATAGGATACTCAGATTTCTGATTGGAGTCATTCTAATAATTTCTTTAAAGTTTTGAGATTGCACATGAATACTTGTTTGGATTCATGTTAGACAGCACGAAGTCATTTTCTTTCATGTGCCCATTTTTCCTTTCTTGGAGTAGGGGAGATAACCCGCGTAACTAACGACGCACGTTTTTTTATCCTAAATTCCGCTAGAGGCGTGCAATTACGTACACTTCGCCTTAAATAATATAATGCATAATTCAACCTTTTTAATAAAAAACGTCAGTATAAAGTTGCAGCTAAAAAACATACTTTGAACATCTACTTTATTATATCTGTTTGGAATTGACATCTCCGTAGTTTTTTTCTATAATAAAATCCAAATCGACAAGTTCAGATTTTGATAAAGATTATACATTGTCTAATATATACAACCTTGTTAAAACCTGTGTTGCATCTAGGTAAAGTACATTGATATGTATTTACAGGGATTACTGTATGCCAATAACATTAAACATCTGGTCCGAACTGTGATGAATCTACATGTAGCCTTACAGAAACCAATGACTAAAACTGCAGTTATCTCCCTTTGTAGGTTGATAGAACTGTTAAAGGTATGATGAATTATATATTGCCAAGATCTTATTTTGATATTCCTGTGCTTATCCAAAAGGTTTTTTAACCTTTAAACTTTTGAGAATTTGTTTTTGATTTTTGTTACTTTTCCCAAGATATAATGTGCCAAAGGAGTAAAGATTTTTCTTTCGTATCGTACATTATTTTATTTTTTTTCATCCTTTTTGGAAAGGATAATTTCCTTTAAGTTCATATATTAAAAAAATTAAAGATATAACATATTTTTTGTATTGATTATCAAGATATCTGATAATTGACTGTTTTCAGGCAATAGAACACACATTTCACAGGAGAACAATGTTGATAGCAGATTATGTCAGTCATATATCACAGCATTTAAGTTTCCTTCTACTCTCCTCCATATCAACAGCCAAGGTAAGGACAAAGTAACAAAATATGGAGTATCAAAACTTTTTCAGGAGAAAATGGAATTATAGAGATTCATATATAAATAAAGTTTGCTATATACTTGGTCATGTTAACTGGTGAATTTAAAAAATATACCACCCTATGTATTGATATGATAGTCATTAATGATAAAAAAAAATTGAACATGTAATTTTTCTTATGTACTACCATTTGTTAAGATCCTAAAAAAACTCGCTAATTTTGTTAACCAATATATGATCAATATATGAACATGCTGCATTAAAAAATAATGAATGAGTAAGGTGGATTATCGGTATATATTTCCTCAGATAGAATTTTTTTATACTTTGCCAGAATGAAGATGTTTCAATGCTCTTTTCAAAAATAAAATAAAAAATATGGGTCACCGTGCTATTTTTCAAGCTATAAGTCGTGCAAAATTGCCCAAATTTGTATAGATTGTTCATGAAAAAACACATTTTTGTGAATAAAAAGAAATCTATGGGATAGAATTTTGAAATAACATATGAAAAGATAGGTTTTATAATATGCTTTCAGAAAATAAAAAGAAAAAATGGTGTCACCGAACTTGTTTTCTTTCTACAAGTAAAAAATGAAAATTTCACCATCATTCCAGTATAATTTTTTTACTATTAAATGGCCAAGTTGAAAAATTGATTCTAAAAACATAAATATTTGGTTTTGTTTAAACATTTTGGATAATGCAATGAATCACCTATTTTACTTTATACAAATAAGCAGTTTTACATATAAACTGCAAATCTGTCTCAAAATTTGAAGATTTAGGCAAAGAACTAGACCGATTGTGTATTGTTATTGTACGATCCAAGATGGCGGTATACAGTGAATCTACCTTAAACAAATAAATAAATTGATGTATTTTTGTACTGCAACTATTACCATACACAGCCCTTTAATCAGATTTAATGCATATTCTAATGACAGACTTCTGTAAAAAAAAATTATTGGTGAAGTAAAAACGAAGATGCTTTATATTTTTATATCCTTCAGTGTGTAAAATTTAATTGAATATTACCTGTATTTCTTAAACATTGATCTTCTCCCATCAGATTTTATTTAAAGTCATCCGTGTCCCTTTATAATTATTTCTGTGAAGATCCTCATTAGTTTTTTTTTATGAAAGAAATATTCATTTGAAACACCTTAATTTGATATGATTTCTATCTTCCAGAAAAGAATAACATCAGACAAGAGATATAGTGAGAGAAAATTGGATGTATTGTCTTCTTTAGTGTTAGCAGAAACAGCATTAAATGGGCCAGGTATTCATTTACTGTCATGACAGTAATTTTAAAACTCTTTTCTAATGTCTATCTTATTTAGTTCAACTACTTCAAATTTGACATATCAGAGCTTTGTGATATAAAGATCTATGGTATATGTCAATATTGACAACAGTCCAACAACACAAACAACCAAAAGACATCTATAGTCTACAGCAATGTACAATATTTCAAGCTTTAAATCGCTCCAGTCTAAAATAAAAGTTGTTATGAATTACACATAAAAGTATAAAAAATCTGCCATCAACACCAAATTCTCCATATAAACAAAAAAGTGAAAGGTGTGTCATAAGACAACCATTGACTTAGGATAACGCATGAATGCGTGGCAGGGTTATTCAACACAAAAGTATGTATTCAGTGGAAGTTTTCACACCATGAAAGTATTTTTTTATTGTGAACCAGTCAATAATGAATGGATTATGGTTAGTAGTAATGTGTTTGTCCAGATTTCCCATGTCTTACATCAACTCAATTTTGCTATTACCAAATCAATTTCCAATTTTTGTTTAGTCTACTTTACGGAACATGTGATATTTAGCTGTGATGAAATATCTCAATAGTCTTGACTTAACTAGCTTCCCTTTGTTTTAAATGATTTTGCTGTAATAGAAATATGTTGGTGAAATATTTTATTTTCATTTTGCATATAATAAATCTAAGTTTTCTCTCTCTATTTACATGATGAATAAGTGTAATATCATACTTATCTTGAATATGATAGTTTATTGGTCCAATCCCCAGCCGGGTCATATTTATGACTCAAATTTTTTCTTTGAGTCCTTTCTACTAAGCAGACAGCATTTTTACTTTGATACATTCTTTGTGGGTTGTAGTCAAATTGATATTTTATGAAGAGGTAGAATAACAATTATCCTGGAGATTGTTACTTTGTAAAGTAGCTCAATTAAAATCTTACTCATTGTGTCAGTCTAGTAAAAATCTTCTTGTTGCCCTGATGATGAAAGTAATATTTACCCCTGAATGTTTTATACCCATTAATCACTTATATCTGATTTTTTTGACAGGTACAAAAGAGAGAAGACTCATTCTGCAATTAGCCTTAGCAGTAGGGAAAACCATGGTATGTATTATATATCCCTTGTAAATAATGTGTAAGAAGGGAAGAAGATATCAGGTAAATGTCATAGAGACAGCAAGTCTTCAACAGAGGTAAATAAATTTGAACGTTAAGAGGTCATCATAAAATTTTCAAGATTGAAGAGATGGCCACAACTGATTGAAAGCTTTAAACCACCATCTGAACCTTTGTTGGAAGATTTGATGTCTCTTCAACATTTTTATAAAACTGATATCTTCTTTCATTCTTATGTTCAACCTTTATACTTATCTTATGGTTATCAGTTTTTTTATATATATGTTTATATATATACTGGCGAAAATTTAATTTCAGTTTCAGTTGTCATATTGTCTGCATTAATACAAACATAACATTATTATCCAGATTTTACTATTACTTTATTTCAGTGAATGAATGTTATATTGAGTATTTTATTTATGAATTGGAAGTTCTTTTCTTTTGCGCAGAAAACCTTCAGAGATGATGAATTAAGTACTATGAATGGAACTATAAGGAAGTTAGAGGCTATATGTGATCTAAGAGAAAGGTAAAAAGTCATAATGTCCTTTTCATAATGTTTATATGTGTTTTATATTCTTAAGAGATTATGTTCAATCTACAACAATAAATCCTTTCAGCTTCATGCATAAGCTTTAAAAGTGAAACATTGTTTCATGTTTCTAAATACTAAACTTTCAAAAGGGATTATATTCTTCCTTTTGAGAATAAGAAAAAAATACTGGCAATCATTCACAGCAAAAAAGTAGGATTCAAGAACAAAATCATATAGATTAGACAACTTTATACCAATTATAACAGTCCTATGTATAGGAATATATTTGATGGAAAGCCCATCAGAGCTTATGTTTGTAATCTCTATCAATATTCACTATCCAAATAAGATTTTACTAGGAGCTATAAAAATTCTTTAGGTATTCTGAAAAAAACATTTGAAGATCCCAAATAACTTTCAAGACATCTACTATTGGATCAGGACATGAATATCATATATAGACCTCAAAAATAAATTCCTCTGAAATAATTAGGCAAGTTTGAGTAGTCAATGTATTTTTGTTATAAAGAGGAGATATTATATTTAATACTTTATTTCTGTTTTCTAGTGTGAGAAAGGCTTGTGATTGCAGTTTTCTGTACTGGCATAGAGTAGTTTTCCCAATTTATCTAACAGACACTTTTGACAACCTTGTTGATCCACACAGAATGCATGTATGTACATTGTTTTTATATATTAATGCACACTCACTTTATCATTCCTTATACATTTTTAAGAATGTTAAATCTTTACTTTTAAAAGTTATGGTTATATCAGTGGCAAGTTCATTTTTATGAAAATTTTGTTTCAGGTTTGTAACTTCAGACAATTTCTGCTACATACATTTATGATGTGGTATTGTGGTTAAGTTATGCTGCCAGTGGAAATTTTTAGGCTTGATTACTGAGATTTACAGATTTAAACATTATTTTTAATGCCTAAATTGGATTTTTTTTTTAAATTGAAGCATTTGTTTAATTTCAAATTGTACTTGTATTTATACAATACTGTATTATATATTTGGCAGTACATATTTGGTGCTTTACGAGACTCTGTGCCTCCAATGGCAGCTGTAAAACACATTACTCCTACAGAACTGATGGAGAGGTTTGATAAAGAAGTATATGGATATCTGAAGGAGGTATTTTCAATTTTATTTTATACTCAAATGAATTTCAGTGAAGTGTTAAAACTTTACAAACACTTTTAGATTTTATACACTATGAGTTACAGTTCATGATTTATTGATCTCTTGATTTTTTGTTTTTGTAAAATTGTATATTTATTTATTTATCTTAAACAAAAAGAGGTACTATTTTCTTTGCACACACAAATCTTTTTATTTGAAAAGAAAGAGCATCAGTTTATGTTGAAAAACATTAAAACATTTTGTACATGAATATCTATTATAGTACCTGTTAGACCCTTTGTGTAGAGAGATAGAAACAGACTTACGACTACAGATACATGCACATCTTCAGCTTGATGACAGAAATCCTTTCAAAGTAGGCATGAAAGATATGTCACAATTACTGAAAGTCCGACCAATCAGATTCTTTGATAGATACATTAATATCAAAGGTAATTTATAACATGCTTTACAGTATAGGTTTTAAGAAAACTAGATTTGTAAAATTATTTTAGATACTATTCACTTCCAGAACAGAAGTACACCCTGTTTTGTGTGATTTTATCTGGAATGGATAAAAAAAGCTATTTACATAGGTTGTTAATGGGATACTGTTGAGACTTAAGACTTGAAATAAAAATATGATATAGAAGTAAATGGTTACTGGTACATTAAGGTATGCTGGAGGTAAATGGCTCAGGATCACTTAAAACTGAAACAATGTTAAAATATTAAAAACCATGCTCCATGTAGAAAACCATTCAGCCTGTTAAGAGGCTTCTTTGTAGATAATTAATTTGTAAGTATGCTGACAATTTCAAGCCACTATCTTTTGTTATAAAGTTGATAGATATCTTTTTATTTTCCAAAAACCACATTTTTACAAAAAAAGTCTTCCTTTTTCCATTTTAGTTTTTAGCTTCTTATGCCATTTGGTTACCACTTCATTGTGATTCAACTGTTGAAAATACCTTTAATGGCAGATGCCATGACTTTTTGTATTTATCTCTTTTTCAGAAATTTTGGAGGAGAATGGGGCAACGTCCATGATTTTATTAACGTTAGTCTTATATTGATAACAACCTGAAATTTCTGTTTCCAACAGTTTTATTCGGATTAAATGAATGAATCAAGATAGGATGTTACAACCATCATTGTTGAATGGTGATGTATTGAGTGCCAGTAATATTCAGCTTTCACATTGAATGATTATGTGTACTATATTTATTAACAGGTTATGTAGAGCATTATTTGAACACAACATTTTACAATTTGACAACAGTAGCACTCCATGATTGGAAAACCTACGGTGAAATGAAACACATGGCAGAGCAGAAATATGGTCTTAAATTAATAGAATCACATCTACCTAGTCAAACATTGGAACAGGTAAATAACTGAATCTGGTATAACATGTAACTGTTAATTCGTGGAATAGGTAAATTACATCTACTCAATCAAGCAGTAGCACTAGAATATCACTACATCTGATAAACATTGATATTGATAAATTATTGAATTACACCTGCATACTCAAATCAGAGCCTGATCTAAAGCTGGAGTGTTTTAATGAATGTACATCGTCAAAATACTATAGCATGTTAAATAAATTTGTCTAGTGAACAAAATTAATAGTTAATTTCATCTTCTTAGACAAACATTGGAATTTATAAATTGTCTCTTCATATTACTTCAGAGCGTGCATTTTCTTGAAATATTAGAATAAATAAAACGTAACTATAAATGCTTATGTTGGAACTACATTGATCTAACATTATCATTTCTATGCATCATAAGAATGATAATCTATCACATGTATATACTTACAATAATAACAGACCATGCAACACTGGCTGTACTACAAATGTATCATCAAAATAGTTCACTCATAAAAAGAACATCTTCATACCAGCACATAGTAACAGAGTTTTCTAGTACATGTATATACAAGTATTTGATTTAATCTTTTTTCTTCTTCAAAACTGTGTTAAATGAGTACATACACTTATTCATTTAAAATTGATATGTTTCAGGGACTAGATGTTCTAGAGATTATGAGAAACATTCATGTATTTGTGTCAAAGTTTCTATATAATGTCAATAATCAGGTATGTTTCATTTATTTAAAAAAAAAATATAGGATATTTGCTGTAACATGAATTTTAACATATAAATAAAATTTGGTTTATGATAATTCTAATAAACTTTATTTACTGCTGTTTCTAATCAGGTTTATCATGTGTCCACTCTTGAAAGTTAATATTTAGACAAAGCTTTTATGACTCCTAATTGGAAATAACTAAAAAACATGCTAGAATGCATACTCTACTATGACAAATACAATAATATGAATAGAACTGGTAATTAGTATATGGTATATACTACAAACACACAAAAGGAATTACTCTTGGATGTCCAAAATATGCAATGTTACTTCAGAAACCCAGTGTTATAGTTAATGATTTTTTTCAGTGCAGCTTATGAGTTCAAATTAAATGTTGAAAGCGTTATTTTCTATATTGTTCGGCATGGAAAAAAATATTGCACAAGTAAATTAGCTTTATTCAGGTATCTTTACTATCATCTTGTCTTACTCTAGGTTTATGACTTTTGAATTTTAAAAAAGCTCTACATTGATTAATAAAGAATTGTTTTCTTGTAAAAAACTGGTCTGATGCCAGTAGGGTTTATATTGTAATTTGAATCTTATTTAAGCCAACCACATAAAACTCCCAAATTTATGTTGGCTTTTCAGACTCTAACAAATAAATTATGTTAACTTTTTTCAGATATTTGTAGAAAAGTCTAGCAATAACAAACATCTCAATACAATCAACATCCGTCACATAGCTAATTCTATCAGAACTCATGGAACAGGAATCATGAATACAACAGTAAGTTTTAGTGTATAAGCTCCATAACAAATATGCACACATATCAAAGGGAGTATGAACTGTTTAAGCTGATAAGTAATAATACTCAATAGAGAACTTTTTGGCTCATTACCTAAAATATTTCTTCAATTCCTGTCTCTTTGGAATTTCATTATCAGTAAATCAAGTTATTTATACAAGTTTATAAATCATTGAAGCCAAGTCAATAATTTATTCTAATTGATTAAAGGTATACCAATACATACAGAGTCACTACTCTTTTTTATGTCCACTGTTTATTTAAAGTACCTTAATAATAAGATTTTTTTTACAACTTCTTCAACCTTTTTGCTCTTCTGAGGTACAAAAGCTAAACTGTGCATTCACTAAAGCAAGGATTGTATGAAATCAATCCCATTTTTTCTCCTGGGTTTTAAGTTATCTTTCGCAATAAATCAGTCTTCTATTTATACTGGAACAATGTAAGAATAAGTACAACAAATCAGTTTAATAATTTTCATTAGTCCTTGGCTAACAATTGAATGTATTACAGCAAAACCTCTCTTGTGTGAAATAAATTTTCCGTTCATGATGTCAATTCTATTTAGGTTGTGATTCCAACTGTTTAAACAAACTGCTGTTGTCTTTTGAATTTTAAGTATTATTTATAGACCGCTTGACTTTCTATATTTTATGAGGTACCAGTTTTCTTGGATTTTTTGGTTCCCTGTAACCATGAATTTAGTTCATTTAAGAAATACATATTTTCAATTGAGTTTAAATGTGTTGATCTTAAGACCACTAATTGAAAACCTCAATTAGATTTCCACAAACCACAAAATTTGATATATATGAAGAAAAGTACCGCCACAATTGAAGCAACTGATATGAAATAATACTTTTACATGGAAAGTTAACCAGTGAATGATCTCTAAATACAACTTTAGTGTTTTACCATATAACTAACATTAAATGTTTTATGACCTGAAGAAAGACTGAAAAACTTATCTGCTTATTTTTATTCATAAATACAAAAATAGCAATGGAAATAGCATATACTAATGAAAAATCATGAAATATTTACATATACAATCATTAGATTGTAATGCTAAGCACTAAAACAATATCAAAACTTTTCACTTGTAGTATTGAATCATAAAATGTCATTAAATATATAAAATGTCCTTTAAGAGCACTATTATCATTAACATCAAAGTGTCTTATCTGTAGTAACTCCCAGACAAAAGCCTGCTGATGTAGACATTGACATCTGTTGAAGCTATTCTAGATGGTGTTAGACGTGGAAGTTGAAGTATTGACTTCTTGGTCTGTTTTGGTTGTTGACCTGTTGTAGAGTTCCTTTTCCTCTGTTTGCTGTTATTTTTTGTCCTGTTTGATCGATTTCTTGAAGAATACCAGTGCTTTCTCCATGGACTGTTGAAAGATGCTGGCCCATGGGTGTGGGTTGATGATTCTGGGTCTGGCTTAATACATCTGTGACTAGTTGGTTCTTGCTTAACAAGTCTCAATGGAGATGTGTAACTTGTGGCTGGCTCTGTTTTGATGTTGGTAGCTAGATATGTGCTGTCATCAACAAGTTCCTGTTTGATGTTGTGAGTAGTAGAGACCTGGTCTGGATCAGACTTTATGTCTTGTTGTTGACTTGTATGATGTCCAGTTATGTTGTTGTTCTGGTCAGTGCTGTCATTGCCAAAGTGCAGTATTAAGAAGTGACCACTGGCAGATGTTCTGGTATGCTGGGTAACATTTAGTCCCTCTGGTAATGTGGTCAGGTAATCCTGGACAGAGCTTTGGAATGACTGGTAATAAGACATACTGAAACAATTGTGGTAGAGTGATTTATGGTTACAATCATGGATGCAACATTATTTATTACAAAGTTTTTGAAACAACAAAGCAATTGATTGGTTAAGGGGTAAAACTTTAAAAATAACACCAAAAACCATTGGTCAATTTTGTTAATAAAATCTATTGGATAAAAGTTGGGCTTGGGTGTGCATTTTTGGTAAAACATTAGATAATTAAAGATATTTCAATACAGAGAAAATAATTTAAGATTATATTTTTAATGTTTTTATTACATGTTATTAAAAACAGAAAGAACTAATCATAATCCTTTTATGTTTTACTCATAAAATTATAAGCTTGTGCAAAACAAACATTCTTTTTAATTGCAAGCTTGTTTCAGCTAATTACTGCTAGATTGGTCGTTATTTTCAATTACTCATCTTGGTTAAATTTCTAATCTTTGCTTTTTTCATACCTGTTATATCGTGATCAGTTATTTGATGTTTACCATCAAAGAAATATTTAAATTTGTCAAAATTTTGATGAGAAATGACAAATCTATCTATATTCAAATATTTTATGAAAAAAATAAAAACAACATCATTTTATCATCAGCTGTATTAGTTTCTTTCAGAAGCAGTTATATGAGATAAACATGTCCTTATTCATATACAGAAAGCTAAAAAAATGCAAGATCTTAAAAATTAGTTTAACCCTGCCACATTTTAATGTACATATACCAAGTGAAGATCCTTGTCACTATAGTTGTTTTATGTCATATCCTAATGTTTTTCATTATTTGGAGAATTGGATTCTAATGGCGGTTCTTTGATTGTTTCTTTTAAATGTATTCACAACTATACAATTTAGAGGTTAACATTGTGTGTAGATACCTGTCTTCTGTTGAAGACTGTATGTTGAACTCTAGATGTCTTTTGATTAGTTTATGTCTCATTGACATATACCTAACATCTCCATTTATTCATAATTCCTAGAAGTGAAGATTTCTTCCTTAACATACAGTTCTGGATTGATGGGCCAACTTTCAAAATTTGTAATGTAACATTGTGATAAATTGAACAAAAGAAAAATAGTCTGACTTCTTTTTTCTTAAAAAAAATGTATATAGATGAATTGATTTGCCTTAAAACATGGATGATATTGTATGGATAGCGTTAACCATGATGAAGACTGTTATTTGTTATAATTCAACTTTATATGTTTTGTATACCTGTTTTCTATATGGAGACTGCCCTGACTAATCAATTACTGTTGCTTATCTCATAAAAAAGGTATATATTGTAGAGGCATCTTAGACGTTTTCTATCTTGCATTGTTTATTGTATTATCAAGTTAAGTATTTATCACTAGCCATGACATAAATCGTCAGTTGATATGAAGAGGTTGTAATTTTACTTTTTATTTGAATTTGTTAAAAATTTCATATTTTATATTTTGCAAGTCATTTTATCAAATCTTAAATTCTATTTCAGGTAAATTTTACGTACCAGTTCCTGAGGAAAAAGTTTTTTATTTTCTCCCAGTTTATGTTTGATGAGCATATCAAATCCAAACTAATAAAGGTAATTATTTTTATTTTTGAGTCTTCATCTTTGATTCGTTTTTTTTTTTACATTCCTGACACACACCATGCAATAAATAGTAGGAAAATACAGCTACAAGGAATAAGTTTTGGAGTTAAAAAACTATAATTATGGATTATAAATATATGTTTTATATGTTTTATTAATTTTAAGCCCTACTCTTTTATTGCAATAGACTCATCAGTGACACTTGAATCAAAAAGTAAAAAGGTTAAAACATAGTGATTTGTTTTCCAAATGATTACCAGTAAGAACAATGTCAAAACAGAAGGTAAAAGCAATGTTGTATTTCCTTGAAATTGCAAAACTATCAAATATATCAAAAGGTTACCCTAGGTTTAAATTTTAACTTTGAACCCTTTTTGTTAGAAATAGATAAACATTAATAAAAAAAATGAGAATTGAAGGTTTTCATAATAGATAAAGATGACAATAGCCAAGATTAGAAATGTGTTTGAATATCCCTCTTGAACAAAAGAATGAAGGTGTATTATAAGACCTCAGTTCTCTGTAGTTGTAGATATTTTAGCCTATCTTTGTTAATATTGTTATAATGTTAATACAGTTTTATACATATCATTTGTAGGACTGGAAATTTTTCAAGGAAAATCATCTTCAGACCGATCAAAAGGTACAATAATTAACAAAAGAAAAACATGTATGTGCCTAAACTGTAAACGAACAGTGGCATTTAGTGTTATATTTGTCTAGCTTTTCTTTATAACATTTAATGCTACTAAGCACTAGCATGTTGGGCATAAGAAAAATTCAGTTTTAAAATTTATTACTAGAATTACAAAAAAAACTACTCCTTTTATTTTCCAATTCAGAACTTTTTAAGGATTTTACAGTAAAAAGTATGCAAAGCACACACTACTTGCAATATGAACAAAAAAGTGCCACAATAATTATTATATTTGCTGTAAGAGTATTTTTTTTTTAATTACATCATACAACAGTAACATATGGTAAAAAAATTCCGGTGAATGTAAATTCTTTTTTTTTTTTGTGTGACTGAACTTCTTAGCTACACGATTTAATTTTATTGTGATTTTTATTTTACAGTACCCATTTGAGAGAGCAGAGAAGTTTAATAAACAAATAAGAAACCTTGGTTTAACACCTGACGGAGAAAGCTATTTAGATCAGTTCAGAGTGCTTATTACACAAATTGGTAAGAATGATATAGACATCATATAGTGTATGATCATCTTTTATCACTTTTTAAATGCTGGTAAATTTATTGAAAAATTGCAAAGAATTAGTCATTGTTGATTATGAAATGTCATGTCACAAAGATTTCATGCATTTTCAAGTAAAAAAATTTACACTTAAAGACTTAATTACTTCTTTAATATGTGTTTAAGGAGATAAGACTCATGTAATTTGTATGAAAATAGAAATGTTTACTTATAGGCCATAGCATGAAATAGATATAACAAAGTTAAAACATGGTTCTCAAAAATATATAAAATTTCTTTTGAAGAAGGTTTACAGTCAGGAGTCTACTTCTTCAAAATTATCTCCCCATTAAGCCACCCAGTTTTTATAATTGTGAAAATGGAAGCCATTGTAGTGATGATGCGATGTCAATTTAGCTCTTGAAACCCGATCATATTATCCACATAGCATCATTACGATCCTGAAAATTAAAATTGATAACGTTTATTATAGAAGTTGGGCACAAAACAGGGTATGGACTGTGAATGACCTTCTAGATGAGCAAGGAAATATATTGTCCTATCAAAATTTTGAACGGCTATATACTTTTAAACCCACATTTTTGCAATTTTATGGTATTAAAGTAGCATTAAAAAAATGGTTACAATCTATGGGAATCAACACTGAAAGGGAAAAAAAACAACAAGCTTTGTTACCTTTTAATAACATTTTTTTCAAGTCAATCAAAGGTTCAAAAGACATGTATAATATTTTAAACCAAGGTGAAATACCAGTTGTTATTGCAACTGAGCGAAAATGGGAGGGTATATTGAATAACATTGTAGGAGATTGGAAAAAAATCCATAATTATGTCACTAAAATTTCAAAAAATACCAAGCTCTGTTGGTTTCAATACCGAATTATTCACCGTATTTTAGGTACTAATACTTTGCTTTTTAAAAAAAACCTTGTACAGTGTAATTTATGTACATTTTGCAAGGAAGAACCAGAAAGCATAGAATACTTATTGTGGGGCTGTCATATTGTAGAAGACATTTGGCACCAACTGAATGCTTGGATTTTTGAAACAACACATATTGAAATTCCACTAAATATGGGTATAGTCATGTTTGGTCTTTATGATTACTATAAACTAAATTTCATAAAAAATAAAGTCATTTTTGTCAAGCCTTCGACTTTTGTTGAAAAAGCGAGACATAGCGATCCTACATTCCGTCAGCGTCGTCGTTGTCGTCCACAAATATTCACTATGTGGTTAAAGTTTTTTGAAATTTTAATAACTTTCTTAAACTATTCTGGATTTCTACCAAACTTGGACAGAAGCTTGTTTATGATCATAAGATAATATTCAAAAGTAAATTATGTAAAAAAAAAAATCCATTTTTTCCGTATTTTACTTATAAATGGACTTAGTTTTTCTGCCAGGAAACATTACATTCACTCTGTGGTTAAAGTTTTTGAAATTTTAATAACTTTCTTAAACTATCCTGGATTTGTACCAAACTTGGAAAGAAGCTTGTTTATGATCATAAGATAGTATCCAGAAGTAAATTTTGTAAAAAAAAAATCCATTTTTTCCGTATTTTATTTATAAATGGACTTAGTTTTTCTGCCAGTTAACATTACATTCACTCTGTGGTTAAAGTTTTTTTAAATTTTAACAACTTTCTTAAACTATCCTGGATTTGTACCAAACTTGGACAGAAGCTTGTTTATGATTAAAAGCTAGTATCTTAAAGGAAATTTTGTTAAAATTTTGTTCCATTTTTTCCGTATTTTACTTATAAATGGACTTAGTTTTTCTTCCAGTTAACATTACATAACAGTCTGCAGTTTAAGTTTTTAAAACATTTATTAGATTCATAAACTATCCTGGATTTTTACCAAACTTGGACAGAAGCTACCTACAATCAAAAGATAGTATAGAGAGGAATATTTTTATTAATTTTTTTCCTCAATTTTGTTGAGCCTTGAGATTAACAGCAAAAGTAGGCGAGACACTGGGTTCCGCGGAACCCTTACGAATTTTACTAGTAAAATATTTCATCTACAGATCTAAGATGGAAGAGGAAAAACCTCATATAGAGGGACTTAAAAACTATATCAAAGAAAACTTAATTTTAGAAAAGCATATTTCCTCAAAAAATATGAGTGCGAAAGATTATAACATGTACTGGAACCCCTGGGATAAAGTCATTAATTAATTTTATAGTGAATTATTATGTATAAATGTGCTTGAAATGTAATTTCCATTATCACTATATTATTTGATGAAAATGTTATACTTCGTCCATATATATATTGTATTCTGTTATATCATATCGTATTATTATTACTATTTTTGTTTACTCTTATTTGCTTGATTATGCTTATTTTTCTTGCTTGCTTTATTATGTGCCACTATAGATAATATATGTAAATGCCTGTCAATCCATGATGAATAAAAAAAAATAAATTATAAAAAAAAATCATTACGATCCTTATATGCCAGTTGTATCTTAAAAGACAAATGTATCTACTTTCTATTGAATGAGCATCATTTAATGTACTTTTATGCATTTGGTCAACTTAAAACTATTGTCTGATCGGTTGTCAGGGGGAGTTACCCTAGATAACACTCACAAAAAATGAAGTTTTTTTTAAGTTATGCATTTTTAAGATCCACTTGTAAAGTCTGTCGTCAAGTACTTTTAGTAAATACTAGTTATTCGAACACACCTAATCTGTTGTTATGACTCATTAGAAATATATTTCACTTGACCCATATATTTCATTTCTTAGTACTGTAAGTTTTTAATGTTATTATATAAACCTATAGCCTAAATATATAAAAATAATGGAATCTGAAGCGAGATGATGTATTTAATAGTTTTCTTTTATACATTTTCAAGACAGACTAGTCAATTCAAACACGCCTGAACATAAAAAGGTGTACTTGACTTTTGAAATTATTGCCCATTTTGGGGTTTTTTTCCAAAAAAACTGACTCCAGGGGCAGAGATGCAAATCAATGCTTTAAAAAGATCAATCTATTATCTTTCTTTGGAATTTTTTCGGCGGAATTTATGCTTATGCACAAAAAAGATCCACATGTATTTGCGCCTACCCCAAACGACTGTTTTGTGAAAATGTATCTATAATTTAAAAGATTACAAACATCTCAAAGCTTTATACCATAATTTAGGTAAAAACACATATACATGTATAAGATGCATAAAATCCTAAATTATGCACATATATTTAACTTTTAAAGCCCATAGAAACAGATGTAAACAGTTCAAATTTATCAACTTGGCCTTTTTTACCTTCTCTAACAAAGAGTTCCATTTCTTTTGTTTAATTTCAACTGGGTTTCCGCCTGTACCGTCATATCAGTTGTAAATATAAATGACTTTCTTTAAAGGAAATGCTATGGGTTACATAAGGATGATTAGATCTGGTGGTCTCCATTGTTGTAGTAATGCTATCAGATTTGTACCAGATTTGGAAGACATTGTCAACTTTGAGGAACTTTGTAAAGAGGAGGGATTGTCCTTGGAATGCCAGACTGCTGCTAAGTAATTGACTTATTTCATATCAGAAAATAACGTTCCAAAAATACTGTGTCTCTCTTTTGATAGCAAATGATATTTATTCCATGGGAGGTTGTATGAGGCAGAAGAAAATTCATAGTTGGTTCCAATCTTTATTTGTATGTGTTTGGTAATTTTGAGGAATCATTTATATTTAGGTCGTGGCTTACATTGTGAATTCTTTAAACATTTAAAACTACTAATGTCTGCAAGTAAAGATTTATATTTTAGACCAACAGATATATTCTAAATCAAAATTCATAAAACATTTAAATGTATTTTTTAACAAATCAATACAAAAGATTGTAGAAGTGTTACAATTGCATGTACTAAAATAATACCAAGCTAATTTTCTTAAATTTGTCTTTGAAGAACATTTGAGAAACCTTAACCTTCTGTACTAAGACAACACCAAGCCTTAGTTTAAATGGTAATATTTTGAGAAAGTTTAAGTGTAACAACAGCCTTTGAACCTCAAATCATAAGCAAATGTAACTTTTATTAGATCTTTTAGCATTGTTATTATAGTAGTCTTGATGAATCCTAATTAATTTCATTAAATAATAATTAATTTTTTCCATTCATTGAACTAATATCAAAATCAAGATAAAATATTAAAAATCATCATATTCTTTCTGTAAATTTTCAGGAATTTAGATAACGTTGTAAACAATCTGGTACAGAATTTTGCTGAAGGAACAGAATATTTTAAAGTAAGTATAATGTTGTTTTTTTCTGAAAAATTGACAAAAAAATATGATACTTAGCCAAGAGGCAGCAAATACCAATATTTTAAGTCTATGTTTAGACCTTTGACTTTGCTAGGAATTTAAACCATGACCTCCTACTCTCAAGACATGCACCTTTCCATGATAGATTGAAGGCAGTTGCAAACCCTACAAAAATAAGTAAAACCCACAGTAGTTCAATAACAAGGTTTTTTTTAAAAATATAGTTCCAACATTCAAATATGAATAAATCGAGGCATGGGATATATACAATGAGACATCAACCCAACGACAAAAAATATCTATAGAGCAACACATAGCCTTCAAAAATAAACAGGTATCCTTATAAAATTAGTCAAGCTCTAAATCACCTTGAAGTAACAATAAAAAGTCCCCCATTATGACGTCCGACCAAGACTGACAAGATTCAGAACTTGGGACAAGAACATGAAAATGTGGCAGGTTTAAAACCTTATTATATATACATAGGTAAGGATTCTATTTTACCAATAAAATCTGAAATTAGAAATTTTTATTCACATAAGAACATTTTCCAATAAACCCATTTTCTTTCTATAACTGGACTCTAAAAAACTTTCTAATATATACTGATTTTAGCTAACTATGGCATTATTTACCTTGCAGATGTTAGTTGATGTTTTTGCACCAGAATTCAGGAATACAAAGAACATGCATCTGAGAAACTTTTTTGTCATCCTTCCACCATTGGTAAGTTCTGTGTTCTTTTATAGATCATTGGATTAAAGATCATTACTTTTTTTTTTCACATCATTACATAGATGGCGTCCATTAGTCTGTTGTCTTTCCCTTGTAGTTGTCATTCCATTGAAAAGACCACCTTCACGTTTTAAGTGAAATATACATAGATTTTTTGGTTTTTTTTCAAATAGTTTTGAACCCTGCAGATAGCCTGTAGCCTTGCAATTCCAAATAAGACTGGTAACTTGTAAAAATTTGTTATTTAAAATATACATGTGCAAAAGAAGGAGAAAATTTCAGTATAATTTAAAACATCTGAGATTGTCCCCAAATTTATTACAATATAAAGCTAGTTGATTTTGAAAGACAGCAAGTCGTTCTTTGTCATTTGAAATAAGAAATAAGAAGAATTAGTGCATAACAAATATCTTTGTATTTTTTCAGACTGTTAACTTTGTTGAACATTCCATAAGTTGTAAAGAAAAAATGAACAGAAAGAACAAAGTTGGTGCTGCATTCACTGATGATGGACTTGCTATGGGTAATGTATAATTGCAAATTTATTCCTTTCTGCACTCTAAATTAAGTTTGCCTTATGCAAATTTTCTGAAACTAATACACAATGCTAAGAACCACAACACACAGACCGAGTTCGAAATTGGGCAGTGAGTCAATTACAGTTCTAGAGTTATGCCCCTTTTTAACTTGGAAAATTGCAAAGCTTGAGCAGGGTATTCGTGTCCTCAGACTTATTCTTCTTTCATTTGAATTTTCTTATGAACAATTTATCAGTTTTCAGAATATCATTAAAAAATGATAGAAGTGTCTCTCTAAAGTGAAAACATGCTCTGTTCTTTATACCCTAAATTGAACTGCAAGGAAAATTACTGGAATTTGGTCAGGTTCTGTAATAAATGCAACTTCTTTTATACCAATGAAGGTTAAGGGAATGTGCATATTTTAATATCTGTAGTTCTGTTGTTTATCAGGGAATAATAACTTTAAAAAAACTACTTAAAACACATTTTATTTTGTTTTTTTATGATTAATGAATTGAACTATGCACAAATTACACTTTTGAATAAAATTTAAAGTTTTAAGTAATTATATACCGGTAATCAACATTCCAAATTTTATGAAAGAAACTTATAAATATTTGAATGTTATATCTAGATATTCAAGTTTTTTATGTTTTATGAAATTTGATATTTCCAGGTATTGCCTACATTTTGAAGTTATTAGACCAGTATCATGAATTTGACTCACTACATTGGTTCCAATCTGTGAAAGATAAATTCAGAAAAGAAAAGGTACTTTTAATATATTCTCAATTTTTGCATTTATATTATGGTATATATTATGATCTTCTTATCATCATTTCTATTTATTGAAGCAGTTTTGCAATAACTTTTGTATTAGAGACTAATCCTCTTCAAAGTTCATTGAAGATCAGAAAGATCTCATTATACATATATATATATATATTATGGTGTATGTCTTTCAAGTTGTCTGCCCATCTGTTCTGTCCATTTGCATTTCTGTCAATCTACCCGTTCATTCCATGAAAGTTTTGTTGCAATATTATCAGGAACTTCAAATCAGAGCTTACTGAAATTTGGTATTGAGGTTCGTGTGAGCATGCTATACCATGTGACACATTTTTAGGTTCTTGCATATTAAGTTCTTTCTCCTGGTTAACAAATACTTTAATATTCTTACACTTAATGGCCATGTAATTAAATTTTTCGTTGCAAATTTCTCAGTAACTACAAATCACAGCTTTTTGAAATTTCCAATCAAGCTTCATGTAGGCATGCTTTACTGTGACTGATGTGAAGTGAAGATCCTAAAGATGTTAAGTTGATAAATTTATAATACTCAGTCGTTTTCAAATACAATGGCCCAAACAATGTTGTAATGACATTTATGTCCTTTTATATTTTTGAGAAATTTTTATAATTGATAGCTTTTTGTTACAGGACCAAGTAGCCAAGCAGCAGCAAGGTATGTCAGGACGTCCTGATGAGAAACTACAGCAGACTATGACCCTAACAATCAGAAGATTAGACCAGTATATACAGGTAAGTACCTGATTGGTATTGACTTGTAAAAATTTTATCTTCAGAACTTTATTGATTTGTGAATTGATAAGTCTACAAGTTCTGCAATGATATGAATATCTAAAATTATCTTCTCTCTGTGCTTATTATCAAAATCTTAAAAAACTAAATTTTAAGTGTTAGAATATCTTTAAAACCAAACAAATAATCAAGTATTTAAAAAAAACGTTTATCATATAACTATTTGTCCATCACAAAAAAAAAATATGAGTAAAATAACATTTTGTACAATTGACAGCATATTTGTTTAATTAATATATTCACTCAAAATTCTTCTGTTTGTCCCAGCTATCTAAGAAGATATAGTTTGATAACAATATATATCATGTTTACTGATGATAAGTATGTAATACTCCACTTTTACAAGATCCATACACTTTCAAAAACTTGTCCCAGCACATTGCATTTGAATTTTTACATCTTTGAAAATAAAAGGAGATTTGAAGTATATGGCCCAACAACACAATTAATTTGTAGGGCATTTCTTTAGAACAATAAATGCAAATAAAAAAATGACACATGTGCTTTCTCAATAAAATTTTTAGAGTGTGGTGAACTACTTTAGGGACAAATTATATCATAATTATAGAAAACTTTGTCAACTCTAACTTAAAAAAGTACAGTTTTATGTTAAGGGGTCTTGAATTCAATTTGATATATATACATACTAATTTTTGACCTTTTTCAACTGGACCAAATCACTACTTTACCTTCAGAGGTTGAAATCATTATTTAAAGAACTCTGTTACTTAGGCTTTTCTACCTCAGGAATAGATTACCGTAGCTGTATTTGGCAAAACTTTTAGGAATTTTTGGTCCTCAATGCTCTTCAACTTCGTACTTTATTTGGCCTCTTTAACTTTTTTTGATTCGAGCGTCACTGATGAGTCTTTTGTAGACGAAACGCATTTCTGGCGTAAATACAAAATTTCAATCCTGGTATCTATGATGAGTTTATTAATGAAGTAACATGAATAATATGAATGATCTTAGATAAAATCTGAATTGTCCTTGGTAGTCTACCATTCAATCAGTCCTATTACCATTTTTATGATATCCTGTACATGACAGAAACTGTTACTATACTTTTCAAATAGCAGAACCATAATAATGTTCCACTGTTGTTATCTTATTTCAGGAGTATGATTTGTTTTATTACTCACTCAGTAGTGCCAGAATATTCTTTAGAGCAGACAAGACTGCTGCAGAGGAAAGTGAAGAAAAAGAAAAGGGTGGGAAAATTGTATTATTAATAATATTTTTTGAAAAATGTTATTGTAAAATATAAGCTTAAGTACATGTATCTTATTTGAAGATTTTTAAGTGATTGTGAACAGGGAAGGAATATGTTGATCTATCTTTGTTGGCAGAGAATAATCCTTTAATCCTTAATCGGTAATATGTTAGTGAAACACTTGTCATCTTTTCCTTTTCTCCTGTTTTTTCAAAAGAAGATAGGGCTGTTTTTTTTCTTTTAATATATATATACATTCTCAAAATACATTTTGCATGGTCATTTGAAAAACCACTTTTATTTAGGAATCTCAATTGTGTATATGTTTCAGTTTCAATATTTAGATTTTACAGAGTTGTCTTTCTATTTACAGATGTATCTGGTGGTACTGCACCAGCTGATGCCTCCTCAACTACCCAAAGTTCTACAGGTATGCTTCAGCAGAATTCAATCTGTGTCTGTTAGAAAGTAGTTTGTTTCTCAATATTGCAGCAATTTGCTTCTTCAAAATTCATTTAGATCCTTCTATAATACAATGTTGTAAAACAAAATGACTCAATTAGAATTTAGTATAAAGGAAAAGAATTCTACGTAGGTATATGTCAATGAGGAACAAACACTTAAATCAGAAAAGACGTCAGCCACTAATAGTCTTCAATAATAGACAAGTGTGTATACATTATGTCAAGGTTAGTGTCTATATGTTATAATATGAAGGAGTAATATTTCAGTCTTATAGATTCATTTTTAAAAAGCTTTCAGTATTTTCTCAGAAAATTACAGGAGATATACTGTAAACATTTTCTCCATTGCAAAGTCAACCAAAGCATTGTAAAAGTTTTTTTCCTATTTTTGTAAGTTAAATCATTTTTCATACAATGGAAGTTCTATGACTCAGTGAAATAGACAACAATAAAAAAATCTATTATTAATTTTAAAAGCATGAGGATGAAGGACCTGTAAGTTTTATTTATATTGTATGCATGTATATTTCTAAGCATTTATGTAGACTATTAAGCATTGTATCTCTTAGCTCTGCTAAGCTACTGTTAAATATATATATATGGGAAAAAATGCATGAATATTACTAAAACATTAATGTAATAATTGTTTGATGCACGAATGCTAATAGTGTATTAATACATAATGTTATCAGCTGTGTAGAGACTCAATTTGTGAGTTGCATTTTTACAGTATTTTAGATTCCTTTGGAATGCAATTTTTATTTTCATGTAAAGAACAGGTGTTTAAACACAGTTGGTTATAGTACTTGCATCTGCCTGCTAACATTCTATAATACTATATGTACTGAGCCGGTCTCTATACTTATGCATCTGATATTGTAACATTTTAGTAGTACTGTAAATTCAGAAATTATTGTGTGCATTTATTATTGCAATTTTTCAAAAATGGACAAAAATGTGAGTTTAATTATTGCGATATTGAAAAAAAATCTGTATACAGATCTATGTTTCAGTTATCAAAATGCAAGTTCTTATTATTGCAATACTCACCCAGTCACATTATTCACATTAATTAAAACCTCACAATAATTTCTGAATTTACAGTAATTATTCTGGAGCACTGTTAGCAGGGAACAACACTTCTACTCATATTAGCATGTATAATTTTGCATACCCTTTCTTTGAATGGAAGTGCACTGAAAAAACATGCAAAATGCCGTGCAAATGTGATTTTGCATTTTTCTTAGAATTATAGTTTTAGGATTTGATTCATTGGGATATTTACCTTCATCTGCATGTGATCTAAATTATTTTATTTATTTCTGCATGACTTAAACATGTATTATTTATGTACCTTCTTCATGAAAGGATTAAAGTAAAAGATATTGATTGACATAAATCTATTTCGTTATTCCTGATATAGTACATTTCATACCAATTTTTTGCAAATATATTACCCTTGTATGTTTGAGTCCCTATTGGAAATTCTATTTGAGTTTCATTTTTTGCTCACCTGGCCCAAAGGGTCAAATGAGCTTTTCTCAACACTTGGTGTCTGTTGTCGTCGTTCCTTAACTTTTACAAAAATCTTCTCCTCTGAAACTACTGGACCAAATTTAAACAAACTTGGCCACAATCATCATTGGGGTATTAAAAAATGTGTCTAATAACCCTGCCTGCCAACCAAGGTGGCCCACATGGCTAAAAACAGAACATAGGGGTAAAATGCAAGCTTTGTCTCTATTTTGAAAACCATTATAAATAGAGAAATTCTGACAGGAGCAGAAATGTTCACAATGTTGAGCTCTACCAATTGGCAATCTATGTCAAAACTGTCAGGGAACTTATTGCCCTTAAATTACCCGTACAAATTTTACCATTTTTTTTTATATTTTTGTCTATTATCATGAAAACTTTAATAGATACAGAGAAACTTTAAATTGCAAAAATGTTATGCAAGATAATATCTACGAATAAGTCTGCATGATCGAAATAGTCAGTGGACTCCTTATTAGAGTTATTGCCCTTTGTTGACGATTTTTACTATTTTTTTTGTGTTTTTGTCTTATATCTTAAAAATTATAATAGATAGAAACTTAGATAAGCAAAGATGATAAGCAAGACAAGATCTACAATTAAGATTGTATTGAGGAAATCGTCCGACGACTCCTTATTGGAGTTATTGCCTTTTATGATAAAAATTGTAATAGATAATTAACCAAAAAACGACAAGCAAGGCAAATTCTACAAAGAAGTCAAATTTTGCCGATATAGTAAGTAGACTGTCACTCTTTATCGGAGTGGTTGACCTTAAATGAGGATTTTTTTTACCCTTTTTTGTGTTCTGAGCAATACAAGATCAACAAAGAAGAGATTTTTTTTCATGAATTCTATTCTCGTCTACAATGTTGGAGAGTGTTTTTTGTTGAATATGCACATAGACCTAGGTGAGCGACACAGGCTCTTTAGAGCCTCTAGTTACAGATCTTGTTCATCATCATTCGGTTCACCATATTATCTAATAGTGGTTCTGTTTGCATTAAGATTTTATAACTTCATTTTATAACCAGGCTACAATGCTTTTAAGGGGTGGGTTCACTTCTTTAGACATTTGAAATTATGGAGGAGGGAATTGTATGAGCTGAACAAAAATCATCTTGCCCAAAGAAGGATGAAATTATGAAAATGAATATTCTTCCCCTCTTAATGCAGGAAATGATTGCATACAAAAGGAAAATAAATATAAAGGTTGCCTCACAACAGGTACAGTTTATAATATATGAAAATACTGTCAGCTAAAAAAATTGTCCTTCAAGTCCCCTTCCCATTTCCCCTGTCAAAAACAAATCAAACCAGCTATCTGACAATTAATGGTATATCACAAAGGATTTATTAATGTTTGACAATAGTATACATTGTTTTATCAGTATAGACTAGAGACACTGCAAATTAATGAGTTAGTTTGAGCTTCTGTGGATCAGTGAGTTGGTAATTTAGTATAGAGCTACATAACAGTGTACATGTATTAGGTTAGATCTTTCGGAAATTAATACGCTAGTATTTACTGCACATCAGTGAGTTAGTATATATTACTACTGTGAATCTGTGTATCACTTAAGAGCTTATGTATATCAGTGTAGATGTAAAAGTTATCATACATTGGGCTCTTAGAAAAGAGCTACTGCGAAGCAGTGTATTAGAACAAAGCTGGAAGCTTCTCACCTTGAATTTTAAATGATATCAAAACATATTCTGTAAGTTATTTTCAACAAAGAAATAAAAAGATCATATCTAGTAATGTTAGTGATGTTATTGTCACATTTAAGAGCACATTATTGATACATTTCTCTGTAAATTTTCAGTTCATAAATCATGTAATTGTACTAAAGTTAATGTTCCAACTTCCTCAGGCTCTGCAAATTGACCTAACACAGTTTTGGTTGTTATGTATAAGCTCTTTTGGTTTTTGTGGTCTCTAAAGATTTATAATTTTGGCTTTCTGAAATTTTTGATCACATGTGTACTTGATGAATGTTATTCTAGAAACATGTTGTGGTCATGGAAATCATATCATATGATTTTTCATGTCAACATCTTGATTGTGGACTCTTTAATTACATGTAAGACAGTAGTAATATTGCAATCAGAAAATGGGGAATTTTGTTTTACATTTAACAAATAGAATTTTCTATCATTACGTATGTACTTATTTAAGCCCTCTTGTGTATCAGAAAATTGTTAACTTACACTGATTTGATCTCATGCATGTTTAAATACAATAATTAGTTCTTATCTTATTTTACAGGTGGTGACCAGACAAGTTCAACTGGACCTCCTCCACCACCACCAGAAGTTCCAGGTGTTCCAGCTCCTCCTCCTCCTCCTCCACCAGGTGGTGCACCACCACCACCACCTCCTCCTCCTCCCCCTCCACCCCCACCCCCACCCCCACCACCTCCACCACCACCAATGTAAACATATGGTGGAAATATAGACAATGAACAGATGTTGTTTTTAAAGGATGAATACTGAAGTTGTTGTTATTTACTGATTGATCTTACTACTTTGAACTAGAAACAGACAAACATTGTTCTTTTTATATAAAAAAATAATTGTGGACTTATTATTCTGTATGTTTACCTTTGCAGCAGTCTCATTATTTGTCGGAGATATTTTGTAATATAAAAATGCTACATACAGTCAAACCTGCCATAAAGTCACCTATTTGAAGCGAAAACCTGTCTTGTCGAGCTGCCCTTTTATTGTCCCTTGTATCAGTAATTATGCATTTTGAACCTCAATCCAAAGAGCACCACCTCTATTTTAATGTCAGTTTATTTTGGTCCTGAAGGTGACCTTTATGAACAGGTTTGACTATTCACCTTTCAGATGTATTTTATTGAACTGGAAGATTGTTAAATTATAACATATTTTATTTGTGTTATACTATGTTGTTATATATAAAAGTCTATGCTATATTTAATATTTGTGATGTATTCTTGAGTCCCAACCTGAAATAATTATGGTATTCCTTTCTGCAGGCAATAACAGAATGATTTTACACACTGCAATAGGCAAAAAAACATATTTTGAAACATGTATGTCTTCCATTCAAAGAACAGGGAAAGTATTTACCTCTGAATTTTTCCTTTTTGACAATGTGACATGATTTTGGCTTTGGTCAGTAAGATCTATCTTTTTTTGGCAAGTTTAACTTTTAGTAGTTTATATGTGATGCACCTCAATTCTTGAAAATAGAGTTACATAAACTACTGTCATTTTAAAATGGTATGGATAAGAGCTAAGATACATTAAATGAGTGAAAATAAGTTAAATATTAAAGAATATTAACTTTAAAAAGATTTAGAACACAAAAAAGCACCTGTACATATTAGAAGTAATTGCCATTAATGGAGATTTTTGCCTATAATTTTTAATGCTATAATAGATATTAGTAGACAGAAACTGTAGGAAACAAAATGATCGGTAAATCAAGATTTATAAAAATGCATATGTTATTGAAAACATTCATGTATTCCTTAAATGAGTTATTCCCCTTAAATGACCATTTTTGAGGAATTTAAGCATTTTGATCTGTCATCTTTAAAAAAAATGGACAGAAACTGCAAACAGCAAAAATTATCAGCAATACAAGATTACAAAATGATAAACGAATTAAACCATTTTTGACTTTTTGCAGGAGTTATTGTCGTTTATTGACTTTTTTTGACAAATTAAAGCATTTTTGTCTTGCTTCAATGGCATAAACTATTTTTTTTTGTTTAAAGCTTAATATTTCAGAAGATAGAAAACCTAGATGCTTCATACCGTTACCTTGTATATATATGCCTTAAGTTCTGACATTTATCAATTTGATAAGGTCTGTTTCTGAGTCTCAGACACTTTAAGCAGTAGGTTATTTATGTTTAGTGTATATACCAAACCAGACCAGTGTTTGTCACAGTTCTGGAGGAAGAGCTCATATCTATTGATATGCCAATGTATAGACACATCAAATTTTGGAAGCATATAGTAATTAGGAGATGACCCAAACAAAATAGTGAAACTATATCAGGTTAATTTTGCTTGAGGTAGTCCTTCAAAATGACTATCTAATTATACGTTGATATAAAGATAAATATTCCTTACTTAACACATGGTGTGTGGTGGATACTTGTCTCTTTACAATCATACCAAATCTCCTTATTTTTATATTACAAAATAGTCAAACTATGTCAGGTAAATTTTGCTTGAGGTAGAACTTCAAAATTAACTACTAATTATACGTTGATATTAAAATAAACATTCTTAACTAAACATATGGTCTCTGGTGGATTCTGGTCTCATTGGCAATCATACCCCATCACCTTATTTTTATATAACAAAGTCAAACTATGTCAGGTCAATTTTGCTTTAAGTAGTTTTTTTTAAATTATTAATTATACGTTGATATGCACAAAAATAACATTTTTAGTATGCTATATGTGCATAATTTCTTTGATCAAAGGTTTTAACTAGTAGTGTGGATTTCTACTAAGTGTGGGAACTGTGGTAGCAGGACCACCAAATAGATGTTGTCAAGTTGTCAACAATAGATATACACGAAAGACATTGTCTTTGATTAGTAAAATTATTTTCGTTAATGTTATCTTCCTTAAACCATGGCCGTTAATGCGTCACTTGATTTGTTTCACAATTTGCGTTTCAGATTCCCTTTAAAGCATACCATACGGCATGTGTTTATTTCACAATTGAAGGCCGCGTGGTGATCTGTATTTGTTTACATTCTAGTTCTGTGTTCTGTACTTGGTATTTGCCTCATTGACAGTTTGGATCATACACCTCCTCACTCTTATCTGGAACATAATATAGTTAGTATACTATTCCAAGCTCTTATATGAAGCAAAACCTATTTTTGTCAAAATGTACTAAAATAAATATCTGGTCTGTTTTTGCATGTGCTACATTAAATAAAGTAATGTCATGACCCATATTTTCAGTAACAGAATGTAAAATAAATGCAAGGTAATGAAGGTTAAACACGGGAGCATATTAATCACGTGGTATTCATTTGGTTAAATTTAATAGTCATGTATCACTAAGTTCATCATTACATGGCTTGAATTATTATCATCAGTTTTTTTATAACCAAACCTTTCAGCTCACCTGGTCCAAGGATTAATGCGAGTTTCCATCACCGCTTGTCCGTTATAAATACTTTTGAAGATTTTCTTCTTATAAATTTAAGTTACAAAAAAGTCCATGACACCACACACTAAGCTTTTATTGCCTTCAATGCATTCTCTTTAGAAGTCCTACAAAGAAACCTTGCCTAACAGAAGTCCATTCTAGACGTTAAGCACACATTCTTTAATCTGTCCAGATGTCCCTTTTTTAGTGGCTGTTAAAACATTTTGCTTATTCTCCTGGTTACCCACCATGTGTTACACCTTTCAGAACTTTTTTTATTTTTCTCTCGTTCTTCATATGCCTTCAATAGCGGCTATGGGAAAATTTAGAAATTTGTTCGCTAAAAATATCCGTTGAGTATGAATAAAATAAGATGTGCAGTATACGGTAATGAGGAATCACGCTACAACACCAAGAGAGGTCATTATACAGTCTTCAATAATATAGTTAGGTGCCAATCTATTCGTTCAGATGTTAATTGTGTCTAATCTAAAGAAATCGGAATTATCTTAACATAGACTACTACAAAAAAAATCAACTTTTCAATTAGTCGTGTGATATGTGTTTGTGAAAACGGCACGACACAACAAAGACTGACAGAATTAAAATAAATATATATTTTTATATCCAGTAACATAATATATTAATAAGAGGCGGAAGATAACAAAGTGAGACCGGTAAAATCATAGCAGCAAAAACGAAAAAAAAAAACACGAAAAGACATGCAACAGTCTACAAAACTCTTTATAAAAAACTAAAGACCGAGCAAAACGGTGGTCTCGCGGTAGTTTGTTCGTCCGACTGCAAGAAGTTGAGAGTTAGTTTTTGGCTTGGTCAATTCAAAGACTTTAAATTTTCTTTTGCATTTACTGCTCCTCCGCCAAACACGCAACACTTAAGAATAAGAGTGAAGACTGATGGACTCGAAGTTAAAATAATGTGATATGTCTTCATGCCGACCGTTCTCTTGTTGGACAAAACGTCGGTTTGACTATATATATGTAATATCTGCCGCTGGACGTATGGCAGATATCAAGCAGTCGATCATATATTTGGACTATTTGACTCGGTGTTTTAGCTAAGACAATTATAAGACCGGTCGTTCATTGAGTTATTTTGCATTGTATCCGATGTGTACAAACGTTCTATGTGATTTTACACAATTCCTCGGATAAAGAGGAGATGACCTGCTTTTAGTTAGCTATTCCTAAGTAGTTTTCTCTGAAATGTTCTCTTAAATGTAATTTTATCATGATCAATGTATTTAGGTACTGATACGAGTTGAACATGAAATACGGAAAAATGCAATTTATTATTATTATTTACCGTGTTGTCAATATGCTAAATGAACTTTGATTTAAACTGCATCTGTTGTTTACTTGCAGTATATGTCAAGTAGTTGAGGCTGATATTTTTTTTACGTAAATTTTATTATACAACGGTATATTTCCAAGTTGAAGTATAGGAGTAAAAGATCATAGCATGACATTTTGCATAACAGATGTATGATCAGCCCTCGAGCATTCGGCTCTTGGGCTGAAATCATGACCTATGTCTGATAATACATCTGATATGAAAACCGTCATGTATAATCTGATAATATACATCTTTTGTACAAAAGTAAATGTGTAAGCGTAATGGTAAATACAGATTTATGCACCAAATAATAAATTTTCTTTTGTACAGTTTCACGACAAACGTTTACTATAGCATAGTACCGTCAAGTATTTATTCCGACATATTAAAAAACAAATAATAATGTGTCTATTGAGAAATCTTTTGATTTCGAATTTAATTAAAACCTTACGTGCTATAGATAAGATCCGAATTATATGTAAAGACACTCATCAACTATATTTTTATTTCGCGAAAGATATTCTAAAACTTTTGACTTTTGACAAAACATAAAAATTACATAATCATACTGAAAGTTACACCTTTTACAGTCATAATTAATACTGTTAAAGCACTGCTAATGTATTCATTACATAATTTTATCAAAACTTGGGACACATCGATGTTGGTCATGTCTCGACACAATTACTATTTATATCTGTTGAATTGTTACCTGGATAAACTTTGCTTGTAAACGGATGAGTTTAGAATTTGGCTTCCCGAATTTTTGGTATAGATTTACTAGTAACCAATCGTTAAATTACAGATCAGTTATCAATTCAATGACATCTAATGATATAAAATCAAATAAACACGTCTCTCGTGAGAAAGAGAGATATCTCCGTGAACATGAAATTAAGGATACTACACTAGAAGGTCTGCTTCAGATCTGGATCTATACTTGAAACTGACATAGACCGTCACGGGTGACTTCAAACTATGATCTATAAGAAATAAAGGTCATTCAAGAAACATGTGTCATGTTCACCGAAATTGGTATACTGCGTTTATAAGTAACCTTCCAGGTTCTGTAATTTCACTTTCGGATATATTAACGATTTCCTGTCACCCAATAACCCAAATATCCCAGTGAACTTGAAATTAATGACACGACTGAAACTAAAGTAAAGGATATGTTCCATGACTAGATATTTTGAAATTTGACAGTGACGGGCGACTTCAAACTAGAATCTATGGCAAATGTAACGATTTCAGTTTCCCTTTACCAGTGGTGAAATATCCTCTGTTCTATCGTATGGTGTGAACATATTTCAATTGATACGTTACGCGTGCCAATAACACCCTTTACGGATTTCATCAACAGAGGTTTGCTCCTAACGCAAAATTGAGTAAGCAGATTCAGGCTTTTAAGGAATAGTAAATGATCTCGACATTACACAAATTTTACGGTCACAATAACGAATTGGCTAACTGAAACGATGTGTCTGTGTACCATCTTAAAGAGATATATTTCTCGTGTTGACTGAATCTGGATTTGCATGCCGAGTGATGCATTTATAGTAGGAGACATACCATGTCGATACGTCCGATCTAGCTCCGTTTGTAGCTCATGCGATTCGATCAGTTTTGAGCATTTGAACATCGATCAACTACTGTTGCCGCTTATTTATTTTTTTAATCTTAATAAAATTTTTATTATACAGGCGATTGCTACAACTCACCGCTACAAAAAAGTATGGCTAGTTCGTTCTGAATCGCCTCAGTGATCTCTTGGTTGCGTGCTCGCCTCGTCTGCAGGTGATCGTGGGTTCGATCAACTGCTAGGTCATACCATCGACTTGGAAATTGATATTTTCTACTCCGATAGACACATGTCATTAAGAAGTAGGAGAAAATGCCGGCAAGGGTGACAGGTCTTCCTATTTTGTGAGCTGTCAGTTGAAAATCCTGCTCAGTGTGTCGGCATATTCTAGTCATCATCTAATTCATCCTATGTTTGATACACCCACGAGTTTAAAATCAAGATGTTTTAGTAATCGTCTGGAATTTAAATATCGTAAAGTCTTAACGATTAATTGTGAACGATTCAATTAATATATGTAATATCTTAAAACAATCTTACGTATATCTATGAATGTAATGTCATTCCGTGCTACACACGCTTGTTAGCCACTTTTGATACATACTTAAACAGTTTACGTTCTTGTACATTTTGCCTCGATATACTTTGATAAACAAAATGAATAAATTTGTGTCTGAAAGACAATGCTACAGCTGTATTTTCCCATTGAAGTTTTGTTTTGTTTTGGTTATGTTATTCTTCTTAAATTATTTAGTTTTTTCAACACTGAAAATTTCTGCAGGCATATCAAAATTGTACTTTTTCTTTTTTGGTATGAGGCAGTTCTGAATGAAAGGAAGGTCATATCTATACTTTAATTTCACGTTCCGCTATATTGATGATGTCCTTTCATTGAACCTATATTAAAGGAATATGCGTCACAATTTCACTGACATCGAGAACTTTACATTGAGGGTCGTTGAGGATTAAACTTATTGACAATAAAAGTGATTTAAATTTCCCCCAAACAGTCCATTTCTTTGTAGAAACATTCAAGAAGCACACGAAAGGGAGTATATATCGCTTATTTGATACGACATTCCATGGCTTGTACTTAATTGATCGTTGTAGGTTATATGTGTTGCATGTAACCACGGATCACTTTTTATAGATATAAGAAGAGGTGGTATGAGTGCCAATGAGACAACTCTCCATCCAAGTCACAATTTGTTAAAGTAAACCATTATAGGCCAAAGTACGGCCTTCAACACGGAGCCTTGGCTGACACCGAACAGCAAGCTATATTGGGCCCCAAAATGACTAGTGTAAAACCATTCAAACAGGAAAACCAACGATCTTATCTATATAAAAAACGAAACACACTTATGAACCACATCAACAAACGACAACCACAGAACATCATGTTCCTGACTTAGGACAGGTGCAAACAAATGCAGCGGGTTTAAACGTTTTAATAGGCGCCAACCTTCACCCTACCTGAAACAATAGTGTAATGTCATCTTTTTCCAATGACATTACCGAATGCGACTTATCGCCGGATTTTCCCCAATATGAGCAATGCTAAGGTTGAAGTGAAGAGGGAACTGCTTATCAACCAGGTTTCTAGTGGGGTTCATGTTGCCCAATTATTAGTTTTCTATATAGTTTTTGTGGAATGTTGTTTGTCGGCTCTCTTTTTTCTCATGATCATAGTGTTGTATGTCTTTCTTTGACCTTTGGTTGTCATTGTCATAGTGTTGTATGTCTTTCTTTGACCTTTGGTTGTCATTGTCCCTCTTTGTTATCTTCTATACTTTTTTCCTATAGATATTGCTCAAATGATAACATGTGCACGATGTTTTTAAAAAGAATAAAATTGTGAAAATAACACACACGATAGTTCTTTATTAATACATTGACATTACATATTTTACACTTTACATAATTTTGTACAGTTTTTTCAGACTGTTTCTCGATTATTTTATTTATAGCATATATTAAGTTTTCTTCCACACAAATCAAAATACAAATAATACTGTACAGAAATACAAATTATTAATGTTCTATGCGTTTTAGTCTGAAATGAATTGTTGATTGACTGTTTTTTTTTTTACTCCAATGACAACTATATCATGCATATTCAAAACGACAGGTATGGATAAGTAATGTGTAATAACAAATACTGGTGAAATCGGACCTAGTCTTAAGTATTTATCAAATGCTAAAATTATTTGAAATTTTGAAAACTTCCCTTAGACATAAACACCTCAGCAAGATTTTGAATGTTTTTTTTTAGCACCACTTGTGAGTTTTGTGTAGACGAAGCACGAGTCTGGCTTTTTAAAATTTTAAGCCTGGTATCCTTGATGATACTTTATAACATTTAATCACATCCTAGCACGCAGAAACATAATACCTTCGTGGTCTGTCATTTTCCTCTAAAATTTTACGAATGTTTTTTTTCTTATTAAAATCTTAAGTTTGTTGAACAATCAGAAAAGTAAGACATGGGGACAATTATTCTAGAAAGAAGATTTCTAGAAGAAGCATAAACTTGCGTCTCCCACAAAGCGTCCTATTTTGTTCTCACGTTCCCTTCTCATAAATAAAGATATCTTATCAAAATGTTGGAAGAATGGTGTTAAATTGTCCGAGTTATCTAAAGTAAGACATTTTGTGCGCAAGCGTAACTTCGTATTTTGGTATTATGTATAATTTTGATATCTCGATAATGATGATCTCTTTGTTGCTATTATGTCATTAACACTTTCGAGCACACAATAACTGTTTTTAAGTTATCGAAAAGTGAATATTAAAGAAAAGATAGGAAATGTTAGGTAGACAATTTTTGATTATGAAAGATCCTTGAGATAAGGAAAATTTTACCATTGTAAGATATTCAATGATATTGTCCAGACTTGACTATTATTCTAAGGTTTAGAAAAATAAAGAACAAAGTGTAAAATAGAGAATGCAACTTTCACCTGCATGTAAAAGTATATTGATTTTATAGGTATTCACACCTATATATATATATATATATATATATATATATATATATATACCTACTTCATCTTTCGTAGGCGACATTTCTATTTTCATCACAAGGAGATAACTTTATATTTACGAAAATTTTCAATTTCTGCTTTGATAATATAAAGGTTTGGCAAAACATTCAATAAATACTTTTCCCGGCAATAATCGGTCCCATTTTGTTTATTTATTGATATATGTACGTAAACAATAGCTATATTGGAAATATTTAACATAACAAAAAAACAATAATGAAATAAAAGTATTGTATCTATACAATCATCTAAATTATAAAATGGTGTGCATATATATGACTTTTATACGTGAATTGTGAATATTCGTATGGTCACTTGTTCAGGAAGTGTCAATGGAATATTTGTTGTTTACGTAACAAACATATTATACTTGACTAGATTAGTACACTCAAATTGTAAATATCACACTCATTCAAAATACTCTATCATTCAAAATACACATCATTCCTAATTTTCGTCCAGGCATTATAGTCCCTCTCACACGCAACTTCTGATTCCAAATAATTTTTTAATAATAAATATTAAATTATTAGCACTATTCTATAATAATATATCAGTGATTGTGAATGTTTAAGCACTGCACACTTTAAAATATTTCATAAAGTTTTATTCGATTTACAATCGAGTTCCATAATTACAAAGGAAATTCATTTAGATATAGTTTGAGTTCACAAGTCATTGCTGAAGAATCAGCTGTTGTAAAAGAGAAAAGGGTACACTTCTGTACGTTGGCATATTTGGTAACAATGACATCTTCAGATATAACAAACAATTGTTTTCGTTTGCCTATTTTCAAATATATATACACGTATGCTTTGACATCTTGCAGGTTAACATTGTAGCATTCAGGTACTTATATAATAACGGTTATTGTAATTATTTTTTTTAGTTTGATCAGAGAGTAAGTTATTTCTCTACCATCTTTAAAAAAATAATTGTCTATATATATTTATATGGCCCACCAGTACATGTATTTAACTATAATTTACCCAAAACTTAATCCATCTCGTTAGAAAGTACTTTTACCCTGAAAAAATAGGGTATTTCATTTTTGTTTACTTCATAGGTAATCCAACTTTTACCTTGTATCAAATTACCATTTGATTTATCACTCCACATACCTTCTGGAAAATATATCTTCATTTGATTTACATCTTCACACAGAACGGGTGCAACTAATATATTATCTCCTACTAAGAACTCATCCGAAACTTTGAATGCTTCTTCGTCGTCTGGAAATACCCACCATACTGGTCTTATTATCGGTAAGCCAGCCTTTATTTCCCCCTTCAGAGATAAAACGGTTCCTGTGATATACAATTTATGTAGCTTTGTCATATTCTTTGCAATTTCTACAACTGATTGATCATATTCCCATGGCATTATGCTGTATCGCATTGCTGGAAAGAAGGCAGATAACTGGATCCATTTTATATACAGATCCTTAGAAGGAAGTTTCCTCCTTTTAACCGAGTCATCTGGAAACAAATCTGAGACAACGAATGGATACCCTTTGATACCTAAAGCTAATGTTCTTTCTATAGCCCCAGTTAAACATAGTTTTCCATTACGGTTCGTGATTATTGCTGGAACTGGTATAAGGTGGGGAATATCCTGCGAATTTGACGTTCCTTGAATTATATCTGAATCAGAAGTTGAAACGACCGAAGAAAACATTTCAGAATACATTTCGCGAAGTGTACTGGGATTAAGATTTGATGCATGAAACGACGGATTATATGGTATCCAATAGGGTTCCCCATATATAACCGAAAAACTTTGAATTTTGTACCGTTCTTTCAGCTGCCCCAATTTATATTTCATCCATTCACTTGCCTCTTTTTCAGATACATCCAGCATTGCGTTTATTTCATGTCGATAATTTACAATTCCCGGGGCATGTTTTCCCGAGTCTTTGATAAAATATTCTTTTTTTATGCCTTCTTTGAAATTGGAAGACAAAACATCAAAATAAGGATTAATTTCTACTGAAAGTGTACAATCCCTACTTGTAGCTAAGTCGCTTACATTGGAAATACTATTCACTGTCATGTTATTAAAATCCAAATCCCCAAATCGTGTTTGCCACTGTCCACCTATTTCAAACACGCTGCATTTCAAATCTTCATCGTTGAGTTTCTGCAGTATAGTTGTTAATTTTTCCTTGTGTGTATCAATAGTACTATTAATTCGAGCAGACCATATTGGTTTTTCTAGAACTGATTTTGACGGTAGATTTTTGGGTAATTTACCCATTAGAGTTCTTGTATATTTGTATGTTGCAACAGCATCTTTCCCACTGCAAACGGTGTAATTCAAGCGTGCGTTATCTAAAGTGTGACCTCCATAGAAATCACCAGAATATTTAGAGATCAAGCATATTTTACCCTCCCGTTTATTCCAGTTTACTTCTAGGGGAACATTATTCGGAACAAATATAGCGGACCCTCCAGAGGAAATCCAATGGTAATCAATCGCAGAACTAAACGTGCCAGCATCAAAATGTCTGGACATAGATGCACTAAATACAAACGACTCAGACTTCAATGGCCAATAAGGGTTTGACTGATTACCCGGTCCGTACCAGTGATCGGCTCCGATATCAAAACAATCAAATGGTATAAGATCATGCTTCAATTGTTCCCACGAGATGTTATAACAATTTACATCAGTTCTTTCAAAGTAAGATATTCGGAGAATGGCACCCTGTTTCCATCTCAAACACGTATACGTGGCCTTTTCAGCCTCCGTATGGCAATGGAACGGTAATTGCCATGTTGGTACATTTATTCCTATTTCACCATTTAATCTGTGTGTATCTCCGGGGTTTGATAAATAAATTTCATTTGTTGCTGGGTCAAAAAATATTCGCTTGCCAATTTTCTCTATTTTATTAGTTCTATGATGAAAATGCCATCCTACAATGACGATTGCTAATAGTGCAATGAATATGCAGATGACGCACAGATGTAGTTGGAACTTCTTCCAATTCGACAATGCTTTCTTCCAATTCTGAAAGAGTAATAACATACTTATTATACATGGGATTGTTTTTAGAAGCCAAATATATACAATAAAAAAACAGAAATTTTCAAAATAAAATAAAATAAAAATTGACTTACATAGAAATTACACATTTAAACATTTGTATACTACCTCTATCCAGTAATGAAAAAATCAAAGAGGTAACCACATACTAATACCCAGATGTCACCCCCAAATAATAGACGTGTACGCTAAGTAAGTGACAAAACGAATGGCGTGTTTAAGTATTAAACATATGTTTAAGTTTGTTCGAACAGTTTGATCCACTTGAATTGAAAAAAAAAATCAAAAGTTTTTCAAACCTATCAAATAACATCCTATCGATGTTCACAAGACATTATAAAAATAAGGAGATGTTATATGATTGCCAATGAGACAACTATCCACCAATTTCAACTGAAGTACATGTAAGCGACCGTAGGTCATCGTACGGCTTTAACAAAGAAAAAACCCTTACCGTATAGACAACTATAAAAAGCCCCCACATGTCAAAATTTAAACAATTTAAACCAACCACCTGATTTATTACAAAAGAATAAACGAAAAACAAAAATGACAGAGAGCAATCCACAAAAAACACTAATTTACTTGCTCGTGACATAAAACAGGAACATACATTATGTGGCGGAGTTAAACATGTTAATGAGCAATCAACCCTCTCCATAACCTGGGACAGTGATGTAAAAGCATAACATAAGAGCATATTGTAAAAATCAGTTGGAAATGGCTTGACTTATCAGATAGGTACGAAGTAAAAACAAGTCTAAAGACACAAAGTATCGATCTACAAGTACTCGCAGTTACTGAAAGCTAGTTCACAGCTTATTATAATTAGTCTGTCAGATATCACTACATTTTATTTATATGTTGAATCTTTGTCTTAAATATTTGTCATTAGCCTTCACACTTCTTGCATTAACAAACAACTGAAAACTTATAAATTACCCTCACTTTGAGTTGTCGTCATTGATATCAAGATATAGCAACAGCCTTATTCAAACATATTTTACTACTTGTTGTTCGATACAAACAAGTTGGTGGGAATAAAAAATTGTTTTTTGGTAAGGTTGGTTCTCGTGTTAACTTTTACCAAAAGCTATGTGAAAAAAATGCAGATTTATACCAATATATATCTCTAAAATTAATTATCCGAGTATATCAGCATTATCATCATCAACACAATCATAATAACTTTGGAAGTTTGAAAAGAATTTACCTACTTTTGCCTTTCATGTCTATATATATATAATCTTACCGATTCTTTCATGTCATAATTACAAGAATTATAATGTCGGTGAATACTTTCTAGCTGGTGAAGTTTCTCACTGGTTAAAGCAATGGAATCTTTTCTAAGATGTGCAGAAAAGTTTTTATTTATGATATCACAGTCGTCGTCAAATATAATACTTGGTCGCTTAGAAAAACTTCTTATTTCGCCATTTGCAAATTCTTCATCTGAATTGGATCTTTCACATGTACCATTTTGAAAGCTAACGCCGTTTTCCTTTTCCCGTTTAACGAATTGACCTGTTTCAATGCCAGGTTTCGAGTTTCCGTCTGTAAAATTATCGTATTCATTGTCATCGTATAATTCTGATTCCTGTTTATAGAAATGTCTTGTTTCTAAGCTTACTTTTCTCTTTTCAAGTTTATCTTTAAATTCATCATGGAGATAACCATAATTTATATGTCCCGTCGGCTGTATATGTCTAACCATATGCGACTCAAAACTAGATCGTCGTGATGGTGTTTTAAGAATAGGTTTCGGAGATGCAGAGCCAACGTCTATTGTCAAAGGTGATATTGTTTTATCGTGTGCATCGGAAACATGTAAAAGACGGTGTTCAAAACTTACTTTTCTGTTTGGATACTTAACAATAAGTTTATTTTTATCTTGAAATGTCTTAGCGCCCGAAAAGTCTTCTTTTTCTATGGCGTGTCTTTTCAATCGTTTTGGTCCCTCCTCGTAATAGATATCTGGTGAAACTTCAAGTGTTGAAGATGGTGCCTCGTTATCATGTGTTGTGTTTTCTTTCTCTAAAGGATCAACATTTGTTTTAATTGGCGAAGGAGTACCAATAAAGAAATTTGCTTGTTTTGACGAATCTTCATCATTAACGTTCTGGTTAATGTCAGCCTCTTTCTGAATTGACTCTAGTATATCATCATTACATACATCTTCTGTTGAACTTGTAGACAATAGACGTTCTATAAAATTAGTATCATTCACCACACCTGAACGGCGAGATCTCGAAGGACGTCTAGGTACGGAATCTACAAATTTTGTGTTTTGTAAAATTTCTTCTTCATCGGTTTCTAAACTATCACCGGATGACTTCCTGCTACGATTTTCAGAACCGACATTGCTTAATCTATTGTCGGATTCTTTTGGTTCATCTCCTGTAAAATTTACAGTATCTTCCGGTGACTCTAAATGCTCATCTATGTGGTTTGAAATGAAATCAGTTTTATCTGAGTTTTCATTAAAATGTGTTGAGTGGTTACATGGTTTTAGTTGAATGTCTGGTTCGTTATTTCCGACTGAATCAGCTTTATCCTCGTTGTTGTTAACTTTATCCTCTTCCTGAATAAAATCTCGACGATTATCGTTATCGTCTGTGATAACGACTTGTTCTTTATTTGTGTCGCTTTTCAGTTCGTCATCCTGTTCGAATGCGTCATTTGTAGGGTCTATTCTATTGCTTAAACTATGTGAATCAACATTATGAAATCTCTTATCTACATTATTAAAACCTTCACCGGTGTTGCATTCTGTATTTTCTGTCTCGTGACCGGGATCTACGTTGTCTGATGTCTCATTGTCCATGTCCATATTTCTTTTCTGTTAATGAAAGATAAAAAAAAAACGTCAATAATTATTTCCTTAAATAATCAGATTGATGTTTGCTTAACGTCCAGTGACAAATATTTCATACATTTTCAGGACGAGAACAAATAAACAAAAAAATACAATACTAGTAAGTAGGTTTGGTAAAAAAAATAGGCCATCCAGGATGAAGGTCTTGTAAATTTGGACTGCCACTAAAAAATGAGGAAATATTTGATAAAGAAATTTTGCGGCCACGTTCATACCCCTAAAATAGGTGTTGCAACAGTTCTTTGCATGCAGAGAGAGTGGCACTCTATCTACACGAGGCATCGGATTTAACGTCTCCATTCTGACCGGACGTGGCTCCGAACTTATACATCCCGCACAGTCAAACGGACGCCCAACTCTGGCAAGGGTTTTACTGCCGGTCGAGAGAAGCAAATTTAAAAAAAAAATGCTATGAAAAAAACCTTCCATATTTCCATTTAAATATTTTAACGAAATTGTTTCAAAGTGAACATATTACTATTCTCCAGTCTCCCTTGTCAGACATACAGCTCATAGGAATAATTAGTACTTCATCTATATAATGTAAATAAGTGTTTGGCAATTCGTCCTGTCAGAACCTAAAGGATTATGGGTATTTTTTTCAATGTACGAACCTACCAAAATGAAAAAACACATCACGTCATTGGTTTTGATAAAAAGTAAAATGACAAAAAATACCGAACTCTAAAGAAAATTCAAAACGGAAAGTCCCTTCTCAAATGGCTCAAACACATTAAACATATCAAACTAATGAGTATTTTCTGTGTTTAGGACAATGTTTGTCAATCACATCGTTTAGGTATACGCTTTTGAACATAATGTTACCTAGAATATATTAGATTCTGAAACAGAGAATAAAGAAAAACGTATTGCTTTACATGTTATACGGTTTTCCAAGCTTTTGGTTACGATCGCACTTGATGAAGGTTATGTCAGAAATATGTGTTGTGCGCACAGAAATTGTATCATCAGTCTTTGGTTTTCTTTTTTTTTTTTCATTTATAAAGCCGATTTCGCCTAGGCTGCTATCATTTTCTTGATTAACCGTTTTTAGTGTAAACTTTACAAAATCTAGCTTTTTTTGTCTTACGATAAAAGCGGAAACAAACAAAAAATGAAAAATATGCAACACAATTATGACTTTCATCATGCGTCGATAATTGATTGTTCTGTACATGGAGACTGCTTCAAAATATATCACAGTTTTATTTTCATAGATATTTAGAAGATAAAAGCACAGAGTTCTAATTTCCCCCGCTTTGCACATATTTTATCTAACCAAAAGGGCAATAACTTTAAAACTTTTTACAAATATCTTAGAGAAATGAAGGCTTGAGAGCAAATACAATGCAATTTCCAATATAATTAAGATTTCGAAGGGGCATAACTGCTTTGAAAATATTTGATCGGCACTGACTTTCGAACTTGTCCGAGACATTGCTGATATAAACCTATGATATAAGTTTCATAAAAATCTTGCAAGAATTGTACGCATGATATCGCAAAAAATGCAATTTTCCATATAATTAATATTTCCAAGGGCATAACTCTTTTAAAAATAATTAATCGACACTGAATTTCGAACTTGTCCGAGACATTGCTGATATAGACTTATGGTATAAGTTTCATACACATCTGGCAAAAATTGTACACATGAGAACGCCTACAATGAATTTTTTTCATAAAATTAATATTTCCAAGGGACATAACTCTTTAAAAAAAATAGTTGATTGGCATTGATTTTCAAACTTGTCCGAGACATTGCTAATATAAACCTATGACATAAGTTTTATTAAAAATCTGGCAAGAATTGTACATATGAGAGCACTAACAAGACCGGACGGACGGACGCCCGGTATTTCTATCCCCCCCCCCCCCCCCCCCCCCCCCCCCCAACCCCGCAACGCGTCGCACGGGGGGACAAAAAACAGCCTCATGCACATTAGTAACGACCAACTGAGGTTTGAAATAATATGTCAAATAATGCGGTAAAAGATTACCGAAAGGTCTGCAAATGGGTAAAAACAAGAAAGAAAATACATATGACAGTACCAAAATCTTACAACAAAAAGATAAATACAAAATACACGAGAAGGTTACCAGACCTTAATGTCCAACACAGATACATATACATACTAAATGCGAGAGGTCGGTGTTCTATTTCTCGATAGGTTAAACCAAAAAACTGCATGTGTTTCTCTCATGCCAAGCCCGAATCGGTTTGGAAGAGGAACAAAGACGGGTGGGTTCGTAGTTGGATTAATTTGATATGTCTTCCTAAGCCAGTACGTGAGGAACCAGCCTCAGTGTGTCGGTTTAGAACAAAGCAAGGTAAATTCATATATCATAACATGCTATCATTCTGAATGTACCAAGTTATATTTACAGCTGGACGTTAACCAACTATCATTCTATCAATTAATCAACAAACAAATATCCCTAAAAAACGTATGCAATTCGTACTCACAAAAAGGTCAATTGGCACAGTTTACATGATTTTGTATTTTGACCTAACTTTTTAATATACTTTGAATTCAAATCGTTATGTTTTATGAATGAAACATTTTCCATTTGACGTTAAGCAAACAACAATCAATCAATCTTATTTGAAGAGCATTCATTACTAGTATATTGCTTGCTTCAATTATTCCAGAACCTTCACTTACTAGTATTCAGAACACATTGATTGACTAGGGGGAATAAAATATGGTCATCTCCGAACTTAAGCTTCTTCCATCCGACAGTTTGGTTGACTGTATGGGATGTAGAAATACGCAGCCACTTGCGGTCGGAATGGGGACGTTAATTCTGATGCCTCCTGTAGGCCAGGTGCGCCTCTCTCTGTCATTAAAGAACCCTTGCAACAACTCGGAGAGGTCGATATCTTGCCTTTAGAAATAACAATTTCTTCACATATCCTTCTTTTTAAATTATAAAATTTCCGATCTTCATTTCGTTCACCTACCTTTTACAAGATATATTTGCATTAATTTTTAATGTGCATGACATATTTACCACTGGACGTTCAGCAAGCAACAATCAATCATAAATTAGTGCATTGAAAATCAGATGCTTCCTTGTGTATTCATTTCATTTCGATAAGATTAAATTATCATTATTCTATTGATTTATTGATTCATGTTTGTTGGCATACTATAATTTTATTTGTTGTTATTTATCATATATTTGTAAGCACAATTAATCATTGCATAATTTTTATTGATTTCAGTCTGAAAGTTTTCAATTTCAAGTCCTGACTAATTGATTTCATTTGCTAAATGAAAGCAATTATGATTTGATAATTAAACCGTGAAGTCAATTCTGCCAATTTAATTAATTGAGTTACAATTAAAAGAATTTATTGGAATATGTATCTGCATAGTACAACAAAGTTTGATTAAACTAAGCCATTGCTATAATATAAAATGATAATAAAAAAAACTTCCTTAAAAGGTGATATTATCTTTTCACTCTATCTGTATTATAATAAAGACAACAATAGATTCCTTATTCGGAAAAAATCTGATTTCAGCGAAAATGACAAGGATGAAGTTTCAAACGGTAAAAATATTTTATCCGATTAAAAGATTTTCTATCAATATAAATATACATTTTTACAATAAGTTAACTATTATTTTATGTGTAAATGCATCATGTTTTAACCAAACAAAAAAACACAGATAAACAATATGAGATCATAAAATTTAAATGTTGAATTGTATTTCATATACGATTTATTTGTTAGAAATTGATTGAGCAACTGAACAGTAAATTATTCATTTATTTATTGGTAGTCATGGAGTTATTGCATTAAGTCCCGAGGAGTCACGAATTCAGGTAAAAGTAGTTATCTCGGCATGGACCGTTCACCTGTGTTAAACGTCTATTAGGTAGAGATCAATGGTTAAACAATTGGATTGATATATCACAAATTATTAGTTCGATAAATTCGTATCTAAGTTCGTAAGGAGAGATTGATACGAATTCAGAGAGGGGAATGCTATAAAATTAGTTGTATTTCAATATTTTACTAAGATAAATTAGTTTACAATGGAATATGATTGATCTGTGTACAAGAAACAGGATGTAAAAGTTTCGAGGAAACCTAAATGTCACTGTCAGTATGGTCTTGGCACATTGTGAAAATTCCATATATAAAGAAAAAGAAGCTGATAAAGACTTGGATTACGAAGACGAAGGTAAGTTTCAACTTTTTCAGTTATGAAATGGATGTAAATCATTGTACATATTGTTAGAGATATTATATCTTTAAATCCAAGTATGACGTGTTTATAGTTGTATTTAAAGTTCAATTTAGCAAGGAGACTTTCACAATGACAAAATAGGTAAATGTTAATATTGATAGTAAAAAGTTAACGGACAAACATGAAATCGAGAGAAGCAACTTCTCTATTGAAAACATGCCCCTTATTCTCTTGTCGAGGAAAACAATCCAACACAATATTAACAGACGACTAGTAACAGTGCAATTTTAGAGAAGTTATTGTACCTCAACATTGAGGCATTCCTTTGTATTATAAAGTGTAACTGATTCATTCTGATTATAAAATATGCTTCCCTATTAGTTTTTTAAAACCCATTTTCGTGATTAGATCAAAATACGAACAAATAATATTTATTTGTTTAAAGATCGAATCAATCAGTGAAGTTTTGTATATTTAGACTTGACACAAGGCTAACTGAAGGTTATTGTAACTGTAACCACTGCCTACAGACAGAGCTAATTAAAGCAACATTGTAGAGAGGATCATGATGATCAAACTTCTACATGATAACGCTCTATAGCCTCAAAGCCATACCAGCATAATTAGTGAACACGAAGATACATCAGTAACATATAGTACTCATTTTGATCTTGTGCATTAGATAATGGTTGCTCTTTATATCTATTTTAAGCCACTTAACCTACTGTAATTTGGAAATGATAGTATACTAGA